AATAATTGATGTAAGTAATGACTGAATTTTTTATCTTTTCTTTTTTTAAAGTTGTTACAATCAGTTGATTAAAGAATTAAGAATTAAATGCGGGTGACTTTTGTAATACAGTAATATCTTGTTAAAGTCATCAGTGCAAAATTAAGCTTGTTGTAATCTTGTATATAATTTATTTAGGTTTTCTTATCATTTCTTCTTGTACTTTAGGGAATTTTAAAATAGTATAAATCTTTGTTTCCCATGGTCCTTTGAATACCAGCCTCGTGGCTGAATGGGCTACCTTGGTTACATAACATTGCTTACTTACTTATTTACTTACTTACTAAAATTTAAAGGTAGAGAAGTTATGACGTCACAAAAACTAAATTTAAGAAATTATTTAATTTTACGATCCATGTTGATTTTAGGAGGATTAGATGGAGTCAGCATAGCATAGCTTTGCTTAAAGGTCAAATGAACTAAAAAATTGACATATTTTCTTTTGTCGCTTTACCTTCACCAAACACTAAAAAGAACCATCCCAAGTGAGAGTTGGGTAAAGATTTTTCTTCCCAAGCCTTTATAGAAAGATAAAAGATCAAAATCCGAGCATTTCCGAAAACTTCACGAAAACGTTTCTGACATAGCCGCGTGATAGACTGGAGACTACGTGACGTCAATGTTGGTCTTTCAGGGCGGAAAAACGTTCTGCGCAAGCTTCTGCGCATCCCTTATCGCCTGCGTTTGTTTGTCTGGTTCTGTGAGAGTTCTGACTGAGACTGAATGAAATACACGAGGTGCGCACGTTTGCTCCTTGTAAAGGCTTTTTTTTGTTTTTGTTGCTGTTTTTTCGTCACTTGAAAATAACTTTGGATTCAGAACAACCAATGTTAGAGTAAAAACAGATCATCCGTCAGTCTGAGGAGGAATAAAACGTTTTGAATATTTCCAAAGAGGTTTGTAGTTTTCCAGTTGAGTTTTCTGATAATTGTGCATTCGATTTGTGAATTGATTTTGTGTCCACTTCTTCGCCTTCGTTCGCCGGACTGAATTAAAACCCGCTTTTATTCTGTTATTAGCAGTTACGGTTAGTTTTTTTACATGCCCAGATTTATTTACCTTTGCAGAACCAGCTTTATCCTTGTCTTATGTCAAAGAACCGTAATGCTAACGCTTCCGAGTGAACAAACTTGAGCGCTTAAAACTTCGGTCCTCGGAACTTTAGAAGCAAGCTTACTCGAGAAGAAAAGACTACTTCGATCATTTTTCTGTTGCTCAAGTAATAATTTTCAGAGTTTTTTTCCTTTAGTTTTTTCAATTTTAATTACATAGTTTTGTTATCTTTCTGTACGCAAATTTTCCTTTCACTCGCTGTGAAGTAGCGGAGAACGACAACTGCCGGCAGTGACTCCAAAACAATCGACTCTCTGCCCGTAAACAATTGAAGCGAGCCCGTAAACAACTGAAGCGAGCAAAACAAATCCCTATGTGCAGTTTTATGTATTTTCTAATGATTCAGTTTGCTGAGTTTAATTTGCTTGAATGAAGACCCTCGCATGGACCAGTTATTACTAAAAAATGTAGCTGCTCTAAGTAGTCGGAATCATGGCTTGGCTGCGAAGCTTGCAACTGATCTTTTGCTTTTAAGATCTTTAGGTAGGTTGTTTCTGTGCAGAAAATTCACTTCTTCTTTGTCAGTAGGTATAGGAGCCTTAAGCCTTATGTTTTTTTAATGAAAATTTGTTGTTTTGCAACCTTACTTTTTTAGTTCACTTAAGCTGAATTTTATGCATGATGGAATTGTTCTTTGCTTGTCGCATCTCTTTGCCAGCTTAAAGTGGCGTCTATGGTCCTTAAAGTGACCTCAATCGGTAATTAAATCTTATACAGAATTGGAAAGAAGTTTTTGCAATAACGTAACTTTAACTTTGTTCGAAGGAAATCTTACTTACGCGTAGGTTTTTAACAGGTGTTATGCATGTTCCTCTTGATAACACAAAGCAAAATTAATCTGCGCGAAACGATCAAGTTTAAATAACTATGGTTGCTTTAAAAACGATCTTGAGGAAGATTTAGTAGATAAATATTAACTCTTTTTCTGCCCACATATCAACGCCAAAACTTCTACATTGAGGATTTTGTTTATATTTTACTGATCTGCGAAGCTAGAAGTGTCCGATCGAGCGTGGGTTTTAAAATATCAGCTCGAGTGCGTCAAAGTTCAGTGACTTCAAGCACATTGTGGGCAAACTTGAATTTCTTTGGGCAGATTATTATACAAAGATATTTTGTTTTTGTGTCCACGGTAGAGCTCCGGACTTTATATATCCGGGAACTTCCTTATATGAACACATTTTGTGAATGCATCTTGAAAAAAATCGGACTTACGCACGCACATTTCCAGTACAACTCAATGAAATTAGTAAATGTCGTTAAAGTCCGTTTTACTATGATGTATTCTTCGAGAAAATTAAATAATAAGAAGGTTATAACCACAGCTTGCAACTTTTGAAGACAAATTGCCTGTTCTTTCCAGGTTTATGGCCGCACAAACCACTTCTGCGCCAAGTCGACTCGAAAAACACTGTTTTGAATTTCCCGCTTTTTTTCACCTGACCAACATTGACGTCACAAGCTGTTTTTTCCGACAATTTTTCCGACCGCTCTACGAAGATAAGATACTTGCTTCAGTTGAGCTGAAACTTCATAGTATGTTTATTTGGTTCATATTAAACACATTTCACTAGAATTGAACTAAAATAAAAAAGGTCGAAATTTTGGTTCATTTGACCTTTAATCTTACCCTAACTAGCTGATTTTTGGCACGATGGACAGCCTCCATCTTTCTGAATATCTCAGTCAATCCCATAATTTCTCCAGAATTTTCTCCAAATGATTATTATTGGGAATCCCATAATTTCACTTATCGCTCAAGATATAGTTCTCGGTTTCTGATTGGCTCAAATCCCAAGGCTAATTCTTCATAACCACCTAGCGTTGACCAAATTTGGAAGACGTTTTGCGATGTGTGGAAAATGACATCAGTATAAGTAAAGCATAAATGTGAGAATAATGGACAGCAACTCAGAAGCCCTGGAGTCGATCGAGGTTGTCGTTGTTTCGGGAGAGCAGTACGAGGATGGCGGAATATTTCACACGTTTTGAACTGAAGACGAAATAGCCGAACTACGACCAAAAACAGCAAGAATACCCTCACAACTCGACCGAATATATTTACTATTTGGAGAATATCTGCAAAACGGATCTCCCCTTTTTCTCCTGAACTTGCAGAGAAACAGGCAAATGAAGAGGGGAACTTAACATCGATCGAGGTAAGCATGTTTTAGCTTATTTTTAAACTGAAATCAATAACAAATGAAACAGTTATTGGATTCGGCTTTCGTATGATCTGAAAAATTATGGAGATCTCGATCTTCATAACACTTCAGATCATACTCAGCTTTATTCAACAAATGCTTAAAATTGACATTTTTGTGACGTCACACTTCTATACTAATTTACTTTCTTTACCTATGCCCCACTTACTAGAGGCCAAGTAAACTAATGTTATCTAGTTGTCCCCTAGTTACATGAATATTTACGTACACCCTAATTAAATTCTAGTAACTACACTACATGTACTTTAAATAACAAATAATAGACTGAACAAATTCTTGTAAGTAATAGAACAACTACAAACAGAACTAAATAAACTAAAAGAGAGAAAAAGAAAAAAAAAAACAAAACTGGAAGAAGTGAAAGTGAATTAAAGTTTTAAAGTATGGCGGAGTTGAAAGGAGTGGATAATGTAGATAACAAATTTTATAAACTAAGCCCATAAGAAATATGTATATCTATATATTCAGATTACTCCTGTCCTGTCAATTTTAGGCGGCATAATGAGCGTTTGAAATTTAAAGTAAAGGTAAAGTAAAATTTAGCTAAGGTTTCAGAGACACGTCAGCTATGATCAGAAGGAACGTGGAAGTCGAGTGGAATTATGGCAAATTGGAACAGCTTAGTTTATGGCAAAGTGCAATGGACCGTTGTTACAAACTGGGTTCATTACAAAGTACGATGGAATTACAACAAATTGCGACAGCTTAGTTTATTACAAAGTGCAATGAACAGTTGCTGAAAATCTTGACAGATTTGTTACAAAGTGCGACACGGTTTATTACAAATTGCGACAGGTATTACAAAGTGCGATGATTATTAGAACTATGATTGGAAACGTACATACATATTATTATACTATAAAAATCTGAAGCACATTTTGACGGAATTATCTCTATTAACTGACCATTGACGAGTTTGACAAGCTATACACGAAAATAGGTTTTGACTACTTTCTCATACCCCATAAATCCTTTCCTTCAACCCCCACCCCCACATTTTGCACACATTCTTGTTTCCAAATGCTCTATGCATCAAATTACTTCGTTCACTAGCAAAGCAAATACTCATTGACCGAGCCGAGAACGCCTAGGAACTAGGTTGTGTTATAGGGGGCCAACCTGCGCCTGTTCCAAATAAGGTTTGTGATTGACTGGGAAAACAATAGGGATGGTGACATAACAATGCCCCCATCCCTGAAAACAATAGATAGTGCAGGTTATAGGGACCAATGGCTGAAATAAGAGGTTTGGATGCATGCAGGTCAACCGGGTGCTTTGCCGACTTCTGTGACCTGTGATCACTGCCAATCGAAAGTTTTACGCGAGGTACCTTAGCGAGCTTGAAGAGGAATAGCAGCAGCATTTTGTCTTTGCCGACGTGTAAATAATAACAGGAGAGCTTTCCTGTACTCGGGCATTCTTATTGTGTAAACTACGGGATTAACAAACGAGTTTGAATAAAATAAAAGCAGTAAAGACAAATTCAATCGCATTATTTTTGTGTAAGAAAGTGATCGAATGCTATCAGTTGTATGATAAATAAAGGTAACTACAGCATATGGCAGCCACAACAGTAATGATACAATAGTCATGATGAGTAACGTTACAGTCAGTTTTCTCTGCCTACGGGCTGCACCATGGTGCTGAGGACGCGCCCCACAACAAATTTTGACAATAACTGAGGCGTAACAAGCACAGATAATAGAAAGACATAATAAGCAATATGATTGCCATAAAAACTGCCTGTGTGACCATTCTTTGTCGAATAAGTGAAGCATTAAAATGGCAGTTGATATCATCCCAGCTAAAACCCAGACCATAGAAATTGTTACCCCGTAGACCCATTTTTTGATAACGCGATGCCTGAATGGACGAAATGTTGCATGAATCCGCTCTAACGAAATTACAGTTATGTTTGTAAGAGAGGTTAGAGGAAACCAATAGAAAATAAAAAAAGTTATTATGTTCCCTTCCCAAGGTAACCTTACAATCACTGCAGTTTTGCATCCAATGTATGTATTAATTGAGAGTAGATTTATAGTAGAAATTCCTCCAACCAAAATGTCAACTACGGTCAAGTTTATAACCAAGTACATGCCACGAGTGCGAAGATTACTGTTTTTTATGAAAAGAATGATTGATAGGAGATTCACTGTTACTATAGCAACAGCCACGGCAAGGAATGTAGCAAACCAGATAATGCACTCGGATGAGGAAAACATCGTGGATTTTTCTTTTCGCTTCCCACCTTTTAATTCTCGTCTTCTTTCAGGCTCGGCTACCTATGAAAAGAATTCGCTGAGTAAGCAAGGGTTGCTTATTTGGAAGAGAAATTAAGAGGTGAACTTTAAAGAATGACTTCAAATCCTCAAAGATCTGCAATGGAGATATACTCAAAGGGCGCTCACCTCAATCCTAATTAAGCTATTCCTTGACGTCGTCACAAAAATTGAATCAAAAGTCTTGCTTTCACCTTTGGAAAAAAAAAAAACAAAAGTAGCGCTTGAGGTTAGAGTAGGATGAATTTGTTGGGAGAAAATATGGGCAAAAAATTTATATTTAACTTAGGTTTATACTGGAGCTGAATATTTTACTTAGCTTATTAAAGGTAAACCTAAAAAAGTTGGCGCTCCTTTGTATGAATCACTAAGCCAGGAATTCAGTGTCACCAGTTGTAGCAGTGTCATGAAAATGATCAATATTAAACGTCCTCTAAGATCATCAGATATCAAGAGTGAGGTGAGAGAAAATGTTGCATCTTAGCCTGAGAAACAGCCGACATTAAGCGACGCTACCACTGGTTTCCCCGCCAGATGACGTTTGAGAAACGGGCGCAGAAATTCCATATGAAAATAAACTCGAGCTTTGCTATTTTTGTTGACTGACTCCGATAAATGGGCTTGGTGACAAATCGCTTTTCTCCAACAAAAAAGTGAAAACTTTACGACAACGATGATAAGTGATTATAATTTTGTTTCTTAGTAACCACACTGGGGCTTGACGACGATTTCTTAGAAACTAACCTCTTTATTCATTAGTTGAACATTTTTTTTAGGAAGTCTAGTCATGTCTAGTCGGTGTTGAACAAAACCGCCAGCTAAGGGCCCCTCATGAGATCCCGGTAAAGCGCTTGCGCTGGCTCGGTTTTCGAGATCTCGCCTCAATATCTTTTGTAAAATTGGGATCTGACTGCAAGATCAAGAAAAGACGGCCTATCCAGGGATAGAAAAAATGAACATTCCATCTCCCTTATCAGGACGAACTTTTTTCAAGTACGTGTGCGACTTCCTTGAAAGAATTCGAGTTCAGCACCATTGGGAACTGAAACAAAGGAAACCATAGCTTTACTAACGTCGTGCGCACTTTACACCTTACTTTAAAGTGACGGGAAAACTACCTTTTTCCTTTATATTTATTCAATTAGCCGTCGGCCGCTCCTGCAGTATTCAAAACAGTTTTTACCTTGAAACGAAACATCGAGAGCCAATTATCTTTCCTCCATGCGGCCATGTAATATTCTCTGTTTTAAGCTCTGTTTATCTAACCACACAATTATAACGCAATTTCACTGCACAACTATTCTGCCTGGGGGGTTAACGGGGCTTAAATTTATCATGAAGGTATGAAGAGCCGCGCGGGGCCAAGTCATCATATTATCTTAACGTTCTTTGATGAATGCTTGGTGCTAACTTATAAACTTCCTTATTCAATCAGCCCTCCTCCTCGAAAAATCGACCCTTTTTGACAGACACCTACAGGGGGGCGATTGTATTTCTCAGCAGCCTACCATTCGGGGACCCATGCAGCCTAAAGCTGTATTAGTACTGAGTAAATGGTGTTCTTCGTTGTACTATGTTGCACCTTCTGTTCAACATACAAGTAAATTTAACAAACAATTTCACTGAATGAATAATGTGTACTGGTAGACCTTTCACTCCCAGAAGTCGCCGAAGTCAATTCGACAAGAATTCCGAACCTTTATTCAGTTGTAAAAGGAACAAATCGTACCAAGTTAAAATTCTGCTGAAAGAAATTCATTTGAATGGTCACCACCGTATATTTCATAAGCTTGCAAACTCAAAAGTTAGAGCCACCATATAAGATCCCATTATTCAGTGCCGTAGCCAGACCAAACGGCCAACTGAGGCAGGCGGGAGTTGCTAGGGGGGTTCGGGGGCATACCCCCCCCCCCCCGAGAAATTTTGAACCTTAGTCTCTCGGAAATGCGATTTGCAGCGTTTTCTGCGTTTTCAGTATTAATACGGCGAAAATTTTGGTTATATATATATATTTTTTAACTGTTATATTTTGGCCACGAAATCTTTTCTGAGAGGCTCCGATGATCGCTTATGTCAAATAAAAATGATCGGCGAAATTCGTCAAAATTTTACCGAGGCGAGTGCCTCGGTTGGCCTCATACTAGCTACGGCGCTGTTATTAACTCTGGGAGTGAGACGCGTCTCTCGTTGATCAATCAGGCAGTGTTAGAGTTTTTGCGGTAACAAAAGAATTCTCCAAATACAATGTAGCAGCTTCAAAGTCCACTGTCTTCTAGATGCGAATCTAAGCACCTCTTTAAATTCGCCCGTTAAACTTTTCAGCAACTTCACGATTCGAGAACTCTACTACCTACTAGAAGAGTTTAGAGTTTCCTTAGTTTTATCGTAATTGTTCTCAACATTACACCTAAATTATACCGCGCAGCTAAAACATTTTGTTTTTTCACCGAGTTCTTTGCTTACTGCTTTCTTACCTTTTTGACAAGTATTGTCCTGGCTAACTGATCTGGAAATGAGCTGAGTGCAAGGACGTCTGTGCTTAATTCAGACACTGATCGCCTCAAATAATGGCCTCTTGATATAGACGAGATACCGGTTTGCTGAAAAGTGTTCAAATATGTCCTTTGCTCAGTTCCAGGGACTGGTTCCCTTTTCTTCATTTGCCACCTTTTTAATAAGCAGCTCGAAAGTATGAAGCTAAGTTTTTGTTGTAGATAGTTTCAGCGCCGTGTTATTACATGAACAAATGTTAACCATGAACTGCTGTTATACTCATCGTTATCTGACCCAACAAATCGAGAACACAGGTGTAAGTTAGAGGAACGGGAAACTGTCAATGTCAACATTGAGATAGCTATAACGAGTTAAGATTGATGGAAGAAGCCCATACGTCCACAGGCGTCTTTATCTTATGAATTAATATTAGTATCTTATAATAAAGTAGTTTCAACGCCACAGCTAATTGAAACATTTAAAATTGCAAAGTACTGTTTGTTGTGTTTAAAAAAAAAAAAAGGGGCCGGGCAAAATGGCTACTTCTTATATTGAAGAAACAGCTCAGCTGGTTCTCCAATTTTGTTGTTGTTGTTGTTGTTGTTGTTCTTGTTGTTGTTTTGACAGATCAAACAACTGAAACAACTTTATTTGTATCTAGTAATTTACAGATGATAAAAATTTGCAAAAAAATTACTTAGATCCGGCAACTTGATCAGTTTCATCGGTTTATAATAGTGGCTCTGTTGTTCGGTTTTTAATAGCTATATTGTTCAGTAGCGTTTTTTGCATGCATTAGTGCGTGTACTTATAATCACTCAATTGCGGATTTTTAGTCATCAAGGCTTTCTTTAATGAGCATGTGTTCTAGAGAAAAACAGAAATTCACCAGGATATTTGATGGCAAATACCCACGGCAATTTCAACGCAACTAACTAAAAGGATAAACTAAGCGATACAGGCTCAGAGAGGGTTCGAAATTAGAGTTATTAGATACTGAGACACAAAAAGACAGGTGTTTGTTGGACCATGCAGTAGCACCAGTTTGATGAAAATAAAAATTTTTGACCAAAGACAGCGGGCACCTCGTTTATGCGTCGCTGAAATTGGGTGGCCATTTAAAATGACATCATATCTATTTGGCAGTTAACAATACTGCTCCCTTATTTTACGGTCTTGTCAGTCCTAATGGACAAGAAATGTTAAATGGTCACATCAAAAAGAAGCGACTTTTTAAAACATTTAGCTATAAAAAACAGAAAAAATTGCGTCAATTTCACTGTCTCGTTTACTAAATGTTATTCATCAAAGACTGAGAGACTCCAATGAGCTATTGCTTTTCTTCTATTTATACAGAACATTCATACTGTATGTTTTTACCTGATAATGAGGTCCGAGAACGTCGGAACGTCGTAGAGTTTTTGACTTTTTTAAACGATTTCTTAAAATATTTTTAAGAAAAGTTTTAGCGCAATTTTTTATAGCTATCTGGTCACAAAGAGACAAAATACAATTGCAACGAATATCACGTATATTACTGTAAACTAAATATTGATGTATTTTGGTCAAATAAAAACTTTTCTGCCATAAGGCCACCCGGCCTCCGCCTCCGCTCACTACCTCTGCAACTCACCACTCAAGTCCCACGCGTCCCAACTACGATTCGGGAACAAAATATGAAGATATCCCCCTATGTAGGGTTCAGAGCTGATTGACCGATAGTTGGTATAATAGTTTAGAAGTTTGACAAAAACCCTTGACACACTGCATTCCCTAGACGTCGGTTGTTCAAACGTTGGATAGCGTTATCCAGTGGATAAGTATTAGGGAAAGACCAATTGCCTTATCCAGTGGATAGAGATCGGGTTTATCCAGTAGACAGCCTTATCGAACTTTCGAACCACTAGGCCTAGAACGTAAACAACTTTTCTTTTCCTCAAGAGTCCCAAAAAGTCTCAGTGGGAGAAGTTGCTCCAAAACGGCTTTATTGGAAGTCCCCTCTTTCGTGGCGCATGGAAACGAGGTGCTCATGACCGCTTTTAATTAAATGAAATAGAGGCAACAACAACAAAAAATCCAAGTAGTGTTGCATGCAGTTACGATAATGTTTTTATACCCTTTGAACCTTCATAAAACTTGTCCGTCCAAATAATTTTCTCTTGCTTTTCTTTTTCAGAGTACAACTTTTTAGGTGGCTAAAAATATATTGTATCTGTCACCTGCTGATTTACGTACTTTTAAACCATTCTAGAATATTATTCATCATACCACATCTATATATGCCTCGCTTTCATGTCATAACATATGAGTGCAATATAGACAGCCAATTTGAAGGTCTAAATGATCGAGCCAAGCTTGTTAAACAAAGTATAAGCGCATAATTTTGATCTAAAAAAGTATATTTTGCGACTTTTCCGCGAATTTGCCGACAGAAGTTCTCTTTTGCGAAAGTTGTGCCAGTCTATAAAGTGATTCTGAATGTTTACCAAAAAATAACGGCTTTTATTATTTTTTTCCTGCATGAAGGGCTTAATATTCACAGTCAGGTGAACTGAGAGCTGATTGTTTTGCTAACAAATTGTGTATTCAGTAAAAACCTACGATACGGCGGCATTTAGCTAGGTGAGACAACCTATGGTGGCCGACTCGTCAAAACGACATTAATTTGTTAATTTTACATTGAACTTTAATTATTTTGAGTTGAAAATGAAGCAAAAGTTAAACGCAAAGTTATTTTCTTTTCTATTGAATTGAAAATAGATTCTTTTTTTATTATTATCATTTTCAACACAAAACAAAACATTTTTATTACGAAATGAAAATAAAAGTGAAATAAAAGCAGAAGTAAGTGATATGTTCACGGTCGGGAACTGCCATTCAAAACAGAAAAAGTAAATTAAAATTAGTATGTTCATGGCCCAGGCCGGGAACTGCCGTTAAAAACAGAAATGTAAAATTAATATGCTCATGGCCGGGAACTGCCGTTCAAAACAGAAATGTAAAATTAATATGTTCATGGCCGGGAACTAGCTGCTTTTCAAAACAGAAAAACTAAAGTTAATCTATTCATGGCTGGGAACTGCCGTTCAATAAAAAGAAAAAAAAAAACGTAAGACTACTGTCTCCCGCCAAAAGTCTCAGGTTTCTTTCCTTTTTTTTTTTTTTTGAACGGCAGTTCCCGGCCATGAACATATTAATTTTAGTTTTCCTGTTTTGAATGGCAGTTACCGGCCATGAACATAATAATTTTACTTTTTCTGTTTTGAATGGCAGTTACCGGTCGTAACAAATTAGTTTTACTTCTGCTTTTATTTCACTTTTATTTTTTTTTTCATTTCATAACAAAAATGTTATTTTTTGAAAATTAACAAAATGAATCTATTTCCAGTTCAATGAAAAACAAAATAATTTGACGTTCTACTTTCGCTTTATTTTCAATACAAAATAATTAAAGTTCAATCTAAAATTTACAAATTTATTTCGTTTTGACGAATGGCAGTTGTCGGCTAGACTACGAGCAATCCCCCATTTTTCCTCAGGGATAGTAGCTAGAGCGAGCAAAACGCAAGCGCGCGTGAAAATCACCCCACGCGAGAAAAGGCGACACGCCCGCTCGCGTTTCGCTCGCTCTACTATCCCTGAGGAAAAATGAGGGACTACTCGTAGTCTAGTTGTCGGCCACCATAGTGATCTAACTTCTTAAGGTTAAAATATAGCGTTGACATTTTTTTGACGAGAGGATCGAAATGCACCAATCATAGAAAGACAGTTTTAATTGCACGTTTCCTAAGAGGTCATCTGAATTTGCTGTTTTCTTTATTTTATGTCCATTTTTTGTGATTGGTCGATTTTCAAGTTAGGTCGAGTGGATAATCCAATGAGGGACGACTTGGATATCGTTTGATCCAAAATTTTCGAAGCAGCAGTGAGAAGCAGTTTGGATAACATTCGGCCGCGGCGTTTCGAGGAACGTGTTAATATATTGTTCAATCATGTTATCTCGGGTTAAACTTACAAATGCACACACTGTTCGCGGTAGGCCCACACTAAAAAATAACACTGAGTGTTTTCGGAATGGGCTGGTCAGCGAACTCAAAGAAAAACAAAGGAAATTATCAAGACATTCAATGACATCAAAGACTCATAGACCCCATAGACGTAATAACAAATCGGAATATCAGGATTGTACGTGTAAAATGGATAAGAGTTTGAATAGAAGAATGTTGAACAAGTTTGAGGGTCGCAAGATTTGTGTAGCTGGTTATCAGTGTGACACTAGTGATTTTGATTTTTGCATTGCGGAACACAGCGAGTTGAATGTGATAAGTAATGAGTGAGGGTTTGCTTCTAAATTCAAAATATATTCAAATGGGTCACGAGGAGGGGGGTCTTCAAGCTTTACTCACACAGCCGGCTACCTCTTGTAAATGTTTGCCGGTTATTCATTTACGGCTTTGCGACCGTAAGAAGAGCTTAGGGGCTCGTTGCTTTGGACTTAAGTAACTTAATTACCGACTCGGCTTGACATGACATACTGCACCGACATTTCAGACCATCGCAGAACCTTAAATGGTTAACCGCCAAATGATTAACTCATGGAAAACAATTTTTAGAGGTAGCTGTGTGAGTAAAGCTTGAAAACCCCCCTTCTCGCGACCCATTTTAATATATTTTGAATTTAGAAGCAAGCCTTCACTCATTACGGTCATTTGCATGGACTCTCACTCGCCCAACAAATTATTTGCGACAAAATATTATTTTCTCACACTCGGAGATGTTTCTTTTTCTTAATCATTTCTTTATTTTTCGTTTTTTTATATATATATATTTTTTATTTTATGTTATTTTGTTATTATCAATTTTTACAAAAACTATGTTATTATTATCATTTTATTTAATTAATTATTTTTTTCATGAAAATTACTTAGTTTTTCATGTTCCGTCATGTTCCGGCATGTTCGGGAATGTTCCATGTTCCTGGTTTTATCGACGCCCCGAGACGATTGTCAACAATTGAAACCAGAAGGAACTGAGGCTTCTTTTGGAACTACTGTGATAACTGCAACAATTCTTTCTATTATTTCAATTTTGTTTAGCAGGATGATGGTTAATGTACTTGTTTTTGTATTGCATGCTGTGTTTTTTCATACGATGCTGTGCGTCGGGATTTTGCGTTATCAGCAAGTTTTGTGTTAGTGTTTTGATGGCAGCGAGGTGACGACAAGAGAAGGTAATGAGCTAGTTGTACAAACGGAAAATTGTGTTGTGGAGGAAATAAAAGAATTTGAATTGAGATCTCGTCGAGAGAAATTTATTTATAACGGAACTTACAATTTCATTGGTTTAAATCAGGTTAGTCCATTATATTTTCGGCATGACAAATTACCATCGAGATTGTAATTGGAAACTCGCGTTGTTTTCAAAATTTGCATAAATCGGGCGCAACAAAGAAATATTTAGGTTACAAGCGCTTCGAAATACAACGGCATAGCTTTTACTCGTTGTTGTGCTATATCTTTCAAAACTATCGATCGATTCTAGCTCAAAAACTCTCAAAGCAGCGGTTTAAATGTTAAAGCCCGTGGCTGGTTGAAATCGTCTCTTGTTTGTTTTCAAACGATTTAGGATGGATCGAATCGACTTTGGATCGATTATTATTTTATCCGCTTGTGGTATGAACGAAACCTTTTTCTTCTCGATAAAGTTCGCTCAACAAATTAAGAAAGATTTACTTGACTTTTCATATGTGGAACGAACTGACTTTTTTGTGGAACGAACTGACTATTTTATGGAACGATCTGACTTGGAACGATGTCAATTAACGAAATGACCGGTTACCGTCATGCCCCTAGCAGACTACCAATGAACAAATTAAAATCTTTGTTACAGAAAACACGGAAAGTGACACTTTTTGTGTAGAAGAATATTCGGAAAATACCCCATTGTCGTCTGAAATTCATTGTTACCTTAAAAGTAGAAAAGGTTTACACTTAAACAGGTACAGAAGTAACTGTAGCAGTGTGAGGTTTTTACTTAAGGGGCAACTCCAAAACTAGATTGTAAACGAGGGAAGGTGTATCTATCGTCCAAGCATTAGAGCACAGGCGATTTAGGTGGAATGAGATATCCAAATAGGCTTCTAAGTAAGAATTTGCCCCTCTGTACTTGCAATTAGGGACTGTGCAATAATTATCAGGAGGGGGGGCCTAAAACCAGATGGGGGGGCCTTAAGTTAAAATAATGGAAAGGAGGGGGGGCTCTACATTAGATTTCTCAAGTAAGTTGAGGGGGTCTTAATTAAATTTCACAAATTCGATAATGAATAAATAAACATTTTCCAAATAGACAGATGCCACTCCTTTGACTATCCATAATGTCTAAATATTGCATCAACATAAACACATGCTTTAACTTATTTAGAATGTCAACATATGATAGATTGAAACAATCGTCCATGCACAGAAGTCACAAACCACGTTGTGAGCTTTGCTAATAAAACATTTGGCATTTAAGAGGTCCCGCAGACATGCCAGGTCTGTTCTTGATTTAAACAGCGTGAGGGTTTCTAGGTCTACAGTTTCTAGCTGAGGAATGCCACATGCTTCTGTTTCATAGTTGTCATCACTTCATAGAGCACCAAAAATTCCTTGCAATGAAAGCAAAAAAACGGGCAACGGAAAGGAACAAACTTGCAGACATTAATTGGTCCGACGAGGTTGAAGTCAACTCGCTGTCTGCAAGTAAACTGAAACTCTACCTAAAGGAACACGGTTTACCCGTCAGCGGAGGGAAACCAGCACTCGTAGCTCGTGTTCTAGGTGATGGGGAAGCTCAAGGTAAAGAAAACCCGGATGAGCAGCGATCTAGCAGTTCCGAAGACCAAGAAGATAATGAACAATCAGACGATTCGGAAATTGACGATTATGAACGAGGAACAAAGTTTCGAGGTGCTCTTCATCCCTGACGACGCAGTGGAATGCGTTGCAGTACAGTGAGTAAAGGTACGGGTTAGAGAGGGGGGGCACATCATAATTTTGAGAGAACGGGAGGAGGGGTCAGAGCTAATCTTGACGCTGCTGGAGGGGGGGACCTATCTAATTTTTCCTTTGGTGAAGCTCATTTTAGGACCCCCCCTTCCTGATAATTATTGCACAGTCCCTTATCTATTTTATAGTGCTTAAAACAGTTTGAATCACCGGGTTAATTTTGGCCAATTTAAGCTTTGTACTGATATAGAGAAGAATGGCCTTCAGTTTATGTAGATGCTACAAAAACAATTAATGCTCCATACTGTCAAAGAAATGTTACAGGATTTGGGGAAAATGGTGGACAATGATGTGTCGCAATGAGTCCGTGCACTTTAATTTCCCGGGGGGTACTTTAGGGATTTCTTGGTAGGGATGTTCCGCTGAGACCCTGGAACCCTTAACCTATACCAGAGCTAGTTCAGCTAAATTTTGGTACCCTATACTAGAGTAAACTCCCCAAATCCCCCTATCCTAGAGGAGCTGTTTCCCTAGTTTAGATAAAATCTTCAACCAACTGATCAGTTTCCTGAAAAATGATACCCTATTCTAGACCCAAACGCTCTGATTTATATACCCTATCCCAGAGTAAACTGCTTGAAAACCATACCCTTCACAGCTGCACATACCTATATAGACCATATATGGCAGTACCCCCGGTTTAATTTACAGTAAGATAACAAAGATCAGTTGATGATATGACTCAAATAATGATTGTTGGTATTCAATTATATTCTTGTGTGCTTCACTGCTTGCAAGACAATCTATGTCAATGTTAACAGAATTGCCAGGAATGGTTACAGTGTTTGAGCAATTTTTCCACCTTGAATACAGTGACAGTTATACTTGTAACATCCATCACTACTGTATATGCCACTCACAGGCTACAGCATTTCAAACACTCTTGGCACTGAACTACAAGTCATTCGTTTTAACGGTGGCAATTATTGGTGTTGGTATCTACAGCACTGAGGCTGGGGGATATAATGTATTTGATTCTCATGCTAGAGACATGTGTCATAACAGTCATAGTGAAGGGACATTTGTATTATTGGGAATACCATCCATGCATAAATTAGTACAATATTTTCAGACTCTACATAGGAATGAGAATATATATGAACTTAAAGGAGTACATATTGCCACCTTTGAACCTCATCTTTTCTCAAGCAATGTTGAAAATTGTAGTATATCAAATGTTAACAGTTACCAATGTTCCTGTAAACAGTGCTGCCCTATAGCAGTTTATGCAATGGGCTCCTGACTCTCTTCTTAATCCTTGTGGATACTGGACTTAAGGAACTTTATTTGCCCGTGTTAGTAACCGGAATACACTGTACAAAGTGACGGGTGTGAAAACACATCTGTCAGTATCAGTGGAGCTGAGATAAACCTTACTCTCCGGGCTGTAACCACTTATGTCCTATGTTGCATTTTGGCTCCAAGCATGTCTGCATTGAAGATGTGCATATTTTCAAACATTGTCGTGAAATGACACTATATTTGTTGTGGATTGGGACATACTGTATCAGCTGTGTGGTTCAGCAAACAAGTGGAGTAAAGGATTTGTCTTCTCTGGTACGATATGATGACAGTTCTTTAGCTGCAATAAGGCATGTTCAAAGTATCATAACCGTAGTACGACCACGCCCAAATATACGCTCACACAGCGTCTTGTTTTATTTTATACTTATCGTGGTTACTCGTGGAAATTCCTCCTAAAGAGCAAATTTAGCCATTATAACTACTTTAATGACTAGAAATCTATTAAGTTTCCTATCCTTTTCACTTTTTTTTTTTTTGGATGCGTTTCGATAAAAGGAGAGAATAAGAAATCGTGCGCGACGCGCCACATTGCACGATGTCAAGGCACGGTTAAGCGTGACATGAAATGTCACGCACTGAATATAACGAAATCGCCTTATTCTAATTGTTCTAAAATAGGTATGATGAAGTCGAACACAACAAATAAAAAGCCACCAGGGGTCTTACATCCCAGCATAAAGAAATGAATTCAATTACCTTTCTAAAGGACGTACGGCCACTCTTGAGATTCAGACAATCGGCGACAAAATTGTTGAGACATTGTACTTAAATAGGGTAATTTCGGAGAACAAAAGAATTCGCACCCCTCCCCTGTCCCCTCCATTCAAAGTTGGGGTGTTTGTTGTTTTCTATAGGTAGCTAGAACAAGGGCACAACATTGCACGGAGGGGATGGGGGAGGAAAGCTATATTTCCTCCTTTTGAAGTTAATAAAACGTAAAAAAGCCCAGTTTTGGGCGAAGTGTCTCAACTCATTTTGTCGCCGATTGTAGGAGCAGCTGCGGAAAAAGCATTATCACCATACGTCTTTAACCTAGTCCTAGGCACGGCTAGAAAATTCTGGGAGCTAGAACGAAGTAATCGTGGACCATTAGTGTAGCGTAAAAGTTCGGATAGGTAAACTAAGAGTAAAATTTTAAAATGTATGCGATAACCCAGCGGCAACCAATGAAGTTTGAACAGGATAGGAGTGATATGGTCAAACCGCTTAGATAATGTAACAATGCGTGCAGCACTGTTTTGTATCAGTCTTAACCTGTTTAACAGGTGTTTAGGAAGACCATATAACAAAGAGTTACAGTTATCGAGTATAGAGCTAATAAACGCATGTACTAAAATTTGAGACTGAGGATCTTCACTTAAGTACTTCCTGATCTTAGCTATGTTCCTTAAATGATACTGACAGGAAACGCAGATTTTGTTAACATGGTCGGTTAAATCAAGATACTGATCTATAATCACTCACAGATTTCGAGCGAAGGGTTTGGGTTGGATCTTCTCATCAACTACTTGGATAAACTCTAGAGAAGGCCTGCAACGAAATTTTGAGTTGATGAGAACAAGTTCAGTTTTATCCTGGTTGAGTTTAAGACCATTGTTCACCATCCAACAATCAATGTCGTTTACACAGCATTCGACACGACGAATAGCCAAAGAGAGATCATAGCTACAGTCAGTTCTAAACGATATATAGAGCTGGGTATCATCAGCATATAAATGATACTGTAACTTGTGGAACTTTATGATATCAGCAATGGGTGTTGTATAGAGGAGATAAAGAAGAGGGCCCAGAACAGATCCTTGGGGTACACCGCGTTTTAGAGAGCGCTGTGTTGACCTACAGTCATTGACCCGAACAAACTGCGTGCGCGACGTCAGGTATGACTCAAACCATGCAGCTGCAGTACCGTTTACTCCGAAGCGGTCATGCAATCTTCATAACAGTATCGAGTGATCAACCGTGTCGAAGGCAGCTGACAAATCCAATAAAAGAAGTATAACAGACTCATTGTTGTCAAAAGCACACAGAATGTCATTCTGGACCCTTACTAAAGCTGTCTCGGTGGAGTGAAAGTTCTTATATGCAGACTGAAACGTTTCATCTAAGTGGTGCGCCATGACGTGATCTGTGAGTTTTATGGCAACTGCCTTTTCAACAAGCTTCGATACTACTTTTAAGTTCGAGATAGGACGAAAGTTTTGGAACTGTTCAAAGTCAGCATCAGATTTTTTCAATGTGGGCGATAGTGTAGCAACCTTCAGAGCATCGGGCACAACACCAGTCGATGAGGACAGATTGATGATCCTCGTAATAGTAGGAAGTAATATGGTAGCCTTTCAAAACTACCGCAGGTAGAAGATCAAGTTCACAAGATTTAGATAGTGGTTTCCTTGAAAACTTTTTTATTTCCTCCAGGGTAACCTCAGCAAAGTTACAAGAAGCTAAATATTTTGAAAATTAAAACTAAAGAGGTATCAGATTTAGAGTGAGATAACTCCAACGAGGGGATCAGAAGACTGTTTCAAAAACAAACGGAAGGTTAAAACAAAATTTTAAACGGGAGACTACCAGCTTCTTTTAAAGACGATTTTTTTTACTGCTCTCTTATATTCAGTACAATTGGTACAATTCTCTCTGATGAACGCCGTGGTACCTCCTTTATGTAATATGCCAAAAACTCACCTGCTTAACTCAAATTAATGTTTACACTGACGTAAGTCGTCTCTGATGACTAGAAGATACTTAGCACGAAACTTTGAGCTATTCTCACCGGGGCCATCTCGTACAAACGCCCCAAATCTCTTCGGGATTCAAGGATAAAAATTCCCGCGCGCTCGTAGTCTCCTGGGTGTTCTGTTTCAAACAGGTTTTGTATAAATAGGCCTGTCTTGGCCTGTTTAATTCTCTTTTCGTTAAACGTTCGCCAGTCGTTAGCTTGGCGTTCTTTTTCTCTTGCACGGTCATCGCTGCGCCATCTTCTAAGATTCTCTTCGTTCTTCGTTTTCCGTGCAGGACCAAGTCCCTGTTGTTCCTGCGGATGGGGCTGTTGCAGCGGCCGTTGACCCTCCAGTTGTAGCGCCTCCGCCTCCAGCCGACGCTGCCGGTGACAACAACGCACAGAACGCTTACGACAACGTGGTTCCTGCGCCCCAACCTGCGGTTCAGGAGGTTAGTGTTTTCTCTTGTCCTAATCTAACACTAATCTGATAGTCCTTTGATAGTCAACTGTGGACTGGAACTCAGAAATCCGTGGTGCTGGAGCTGTTCTTTCTGTAGTGGGGTCACACCAGTGGCAGTGAAGTCGCGGGCCCTAAGACGCTCAGAGCTGTTCAATACGCTCGACGAACACTTCATGAACACTTATGTAACCAACTGATAAGAAAGTCGTGTTTACCTGTGGAACGGACTTCCATCGAATTATTTCACTTATTGACAAGTACAGAAGACTGTTAATCAAGTACGAAAATTGACTTTCATCGTTAATTTTTCGCTTCTCATGGTGTTTTTCGCTACATTTCTTACCTTTCCGACAATAGGCAGTAGACAAATACTGAGGTGGCTGGTTGTCTTGCAGGAACAGATTTAATATTCAAATATATTTGCGTTCAGTTCTTGCTCTCTTCGTAGCAAGCACCGAATTCAGACGCTGAATAAATGTATTAGAATCTCACTATCGCTATTTTCTCGCATACGATCATGCTTTACGACGAAGCCTCCAAAACGCTATATATTTCATCCTTGCAGCTCGTTGTTTGACTATGTTGAAGTTGCGTGGGTTGAAGCAGGATGTTGCAAAGAGCTCAGAACCGAAAATGCAAGAAGGCATTTTGGTTTTTAAGTGATCATACAATCTGGTACCTTGGTTTGTTAGTACCCTACAAGAAAAAGGGCTTTGCACGATCCTGCCACTGGAAGAACAAAAAAACTGCGCCAACCAAAGCCTGAACGCAATACATGGGCAAAATAACTTTTCAAGTTGGCGGGGACTATATTACTATTCTCCCCTTGTCAGTATTAAAAGCGCCCCGTCCCTACATACTCAAAAAAAAAATGATAAGTAATCATTTTTAATTCATAACATTTATTTCTTACTATCTTTACACATTTTTTTAAATATTGACCTTCGTTGTATATTTTTCCATGTCTACTGCTACTACCACTTGAGACTGATTATTATCACATTTAATGTAAATGAATTCAACTGACTATTTTATAAATATACATGACAAGTAATTTCATTCATCTCAACATGCTTTGAATTGAGAGACAATCCTATCTCCGGAATAACTACTCCTATGAATGGCCTAAAAATACTATATGTAAGTAATGATTAAATTTTTATCTTTTCTTTTATTTAAAGTTGTTTTAATTAGTTAATTAAATAATTAAGAATCAATTAAATGCAGGTGGCTTTTGCACTACAGTAATATTTTGTTATAGTCATTCAAATTAAGCTTGTTGTTGTAATCTTGAACATATTTTCACATTCAGGTTTTCTTATCATTTCTTCTTCTACTATAGGAAATTTTAAAATACACCGCTTTGTTTCCCATGGTCCTTTGAATACCAGCCTCGTGGCTGAATGGGCTACCTTGGTTAAATAACATTTCTTACTTTCCCACGTACTTACTTACTAAAGTAGAGAAGTGATGACGTCACAAAAACTAAAATTTAAAAAATTATTAGATTTTAAGATCCATGATATTTTTAGGAGCATTATATGGAGTCATCATAGCATTATTGCATAGAAGCCTTGGGGTCGAGGTTGTCATTGTCTTGGGAGAGCAGTACAAAAAAAGCGGAATATTTCAAACGTTTTGCAAAGATCAAATAACCGAACTACTGCCAAAAACAGCAAGAATACAACTCGACAGACGACGCTCACTATCTGGAGAATATCCGCTGCAGAACTGATCATCCCTTTATCTCCTGAACTTGCAGAGAAACAATGAAATGAAGAGGGGAACTTAACATCGATCGAGGCAAGCATGTTTTAGCTTGTTTTTAAACTGGAAATTATTTTCAGTGAATCAATAACAAATTAAACAGTTATTGGATTCGGCTGTCGTATGATCTGAAGAATTATAGTAATCTCGATCTCCATAACTCTTCAGATTATACTCAGCCTCACTCAACAAATCCTAAAAAATGAAATTTTTGTGACGTCACACTTTTCTACTTACTTACTTTCTTTACCTATGCCCTTTACTTACTTACTTACTTTGCTCTTTGACGGAGATCAGACTCATAAAAGCGAATCTCATAACAAGAGAATGTATCAGATATTAAACTAAGTTTACTTGAAAGTACGACAATATGATAACACTTAATTCACACCTGTCACGTATTATTACATTTACTAGTACATTTTTAGTTCCTTATACTGTTCCTATTGATCCAGTTATTACTGGTTAGAATATAGTTTTTGATGTCTAGAGTCCAAGTAAACTAATGTTATCTAGTTTTCCCCTAGTTCCCATAAATATTTACGTACACACTAACTAAATTAACTACACTACCCCGTGTACTTTAAATAACAACTAGTAAAACAAATTCTTGTAAGTAATGGAACAACTAGAAACAGAACTAAATAAACTAAAGGAGAGAAAAGAAAAAACAAAACAAACAAAACCGGAAGAAGTGAATTGAAGTATTAAAGTATGGCGGACTTGAAAGGAGTGGATAATAGATAACTAATTATATAACCTAGCATATAGTTTATAAAGCCCATAAGACTATGTCTATATATTTAGATTACTCCTGTCCTGTCAATTGTAGGCGACAGAATGAGCGTTTGAAATGTTAACAAATGCTTAGTAAGGTAAACTTTAGCTAGGGTTTCAGAGACACGTCAGAAGGCACGTGGCCAGAAGTCGATGGAATTATGACAAATTGGGGTGCAGCTTAGTTTATTACAAAGTGCAATGAACAGTTGTTACAAGTTTGGTTCATTACAAAGTGCGATGGAATTATGACAAATTGCGACAACTTAGTTTACTGCAAAGTGCAATGAACAGTTGCTTAAAATTTTGACAGATTTCTTACAAAGTGTGACACGGTTTAAATTGCGACAAGTATTACATAGATGGATTTATTACAAATTGCGAAAGGTATTACAAAGTGCAATGATTATTAGAACTTTGATTACTAACGTACATGCATATTATTATACTATAAAGTTCTGATGCACATTTCCAATCATCTCTATTAACTGACCATTGACGGCTTGACAAGTTATACACGAAACTGAAATAGGTTTTGACTATTTTCGCAAGCCCCATAAATCCCTTCCTTCAACCCCCCTCCCCACCCCCACATTTTGCATAAGTTCTTGTTTTCAAATGCTCCTGTCAATATCCAGTCCTACCAAGAGCATTTAAAAACAATTATTAGTTTATGCAAACAGAGTTTATTATGGGGAATTCAAAGAGAGAAAAAATCGTTAGTAATTACTTCTTCTTCTTCTTCTTCTTGTGGAGGCGTGTGTGGCCGGGTGGATAACACGTACCTCGAACTCCGGATCTGGAGGTCCGGGGTTAAAGCCTCGCCTGTCTCGAGTGCGCCGTTACCTTTGCCTTTACCTCTATATTTACCATATTTTTATTGAACCAAACCTTAATAAGTTACGTAATAAGTAAGTAATAAGTATTAATAAGCTATGCAAAATATTACTTTTTTCAGTAAGAGCGCAAATAATCCCAGAGGCGGCGGAGCGTTTTGAACCGTGGGGGGGGGGAGCTCATCTTCCACTCAGACATACGCATACCCCTCCCCAAATTTTTCAAAATGCCCTTTGCGTTGTTCGTTGGCACAAGCAATCTTCACAGTGTCTAGTGTGTCCGTAATCGATTTGTGACAAAGCATCAGCAGGTAGTTGTTCGGGCGGTCCTGCTTCATTGTGCTTCTTAAAGTCACTGATGTCACAGGTATTGTCAAATACATCGGTGAAGGTGTTTTCGGCACCAAAACGTGGGGAGGCTCTGCCCCCCCCCCCCCTACCCCCCCTACTCCGCTACTCCGTTTGCATAAAATAAAAGCAGTAAAGACAAATTTAATCGAATTCTTTTTGTGTAAGAAAGTGATCGAATGCTATCAGTTGTATAGAAAACAAAGGTAGCTACAGCAAACGGTAGCCAACATGACAGTAACGATACAATGGTCATGATGAGTAACGTTACAGTCAGTTTTCTTTGCCTACGGGCTGCACCATGGTGCTGTGGACGCGCCCCGCAACAAATTTTGACAGTAACTGAGGCGTTAGAAGCACAGACAATAGAAAGACATAACCAGCAATATGATTGCCATAAAAACTGCCTGTGTGACCATTCTTTGTCGAATAATGCAAGCATGAAAAGGGCAGTTGATATCATCCCAGCTAAAACCCAGACCACAGAAATTGTTACCCCGTAGACCCATTTTTTGATAACGCGATGCCTGAAAGGACGAAATGTTGCATGCATCCGCTCTAACGAAATTACAGTTATGTTTGTAAGAGAGGTTAGAGGAAACCAATACAAAATAAACCAAGTTATCATGTTCACTTCCCGAGGTAACCTTACAATCACAGTTTTGCATCCAATGCGTGTATCAATTAAGAGTAGATTTACAGTACAAAGTCCTCCAACCAAAATGTCAACTACGGTCAAGTTTATAACCAAGTACATGCCACGAGTGCGAAGATTACTGTTTTTTATGAAAAGAATGATTGGTAGGAGATTCACTGTTACTATAGCAACAGCCACGGCAAGGTATGCAGCAAACCAGATAATGCACTCGGATGAGGAAAACATCGTGGATTTTTCTTTTCGCTTCCCACCTTTTAATTCTCGTCTTCTTTCAGGCTCGGCTACCTATGAAAAGAATTCGCTGACTAAGCAAGGGTTGCTTATTTGGAAGAGAAATTAAGAGGTGAACTTTAAAGAATGAATTCAAATCCTCAAAGATCTGCAATGGAGATATATTCAAAGGGCGCTCACCTCAATCCTAATTAAGCTATTCCTTGATGTCGTCACAAAAATTGAATCAAACGTCTTGTTTTCACCTTTGGAAAAAAAAAAACAGAAGTAGCGCTGAAGGTTAGAGTAGGATGAATTTGTTGGGAGAAAATATGGGCAAAAAATTTATATTTAACTTAGGTTTATACTGGAGCTGAATATTTTACTTAGCTTATTAAAGGTAAACCTAAAAAAGTCGGCGCTCCTTTGTATGAATCACTAAGCCCAGAACTCAGTGTCACCAGTTGTAGCAGTGTCATGAAAATGATCAATATTAAACGTCCTCTAAGATCATCAGATATCAAGAGTGAGGTGAGAGAAAATATTGCATCTTAGCCTGAGAAAACCGCCGACATTAAGCGACGCTACCAATGGTTTCCCCGCCAAATGACGTCTGAGAAACGGGCGCAGAAATTCCATATGAAAATAAACTCGAGCTTTGCTATTTTTGTTGACTGACTCCGATAAATGGGCTTGGTGACAAATCGCTTCTACCCAACAAAAAACTGAAAACCTTACGACAACGATGATAAGTGATTATAATTTTGTTTCTTAGTAACCACACTGGGGCGTCGTCACGGACCCCTAAGAACGTCTGCGTGGGAGGCTAGTACGTGCGCGACTTCCTTGAACGAATTCGAGTTCTTCACCATTGGGAACTGAAACAAAGGAAACCATAACTTTACTAACGTCGTGCGCGCTTTACACCTTACTTTAAAGTGACGGGAAAAAACTACCTTTCCTTTATATTTATTCAATTAGCCGTCGGCCGCTCCTGCAGAATTCAAAACAGTTTTTACCTTGAAACGAAACATCGAGGGCCAATTATCTTTCCTCAATGCGGCCATGTAATATTCTCTATTTTCTGCGTGAAACAAGCCAAATATGCAAATATCTCAAGGTTCACAGATTGTCGTAAGCCATATATACTTCCACTTTCAATTGGCCTTTGACAAATCGACCCTTTTGATCGACAGTATACAGTGATTATTCTCCGCAGTCTGTCTCGCTCTCAATGCAGGCGAAGAAACTGCTACTAGTAACAGAAATTCACCAGGACATTTGATGGCAAATACCCACGGCAATTTCAACGCAACTAACTAAAAGGATAAACTAAGCAATACAGGCTCAGAAAGGGTTCAAAATTAGAGTTATTAGATACTGAGACACAAAAAGACAGGTGTTTGTTAGACCATGCAGTAGCACCAGTTTGATGAAAATGAAAATTTTTGACCAAAGACAGCGGGCACCTTGTTCATGCGCCGCTGAAATTGGGTGCCCATTGAAAATGACACCACATCTATTTGGCAGTTAACAATACTGCTCCCTTATGTTACAGTCTTGTCAGTCCTAATGGACAAGAAATGTTAACATGCTTTTATCTGGTCACAGTAAAAAGAGGCGACTTTTTAAAACATTAATAGCTATAAAAAATTGCGTCAATTTGACTGCCTCGTTTACTTAATGTTATTCATCAAAGAACTTAAGCCTACTCAGAGTGACTCCCGTGCATGAGCACTTGCTTTTATTGTATATTTATAGATCATAATCATACTGTATTTTTTACCTGATAATGAAGCTAAAGCCCAATTCACTTCCTCTTTTAATTTTGCTTTTGCACTAGGATTTTTTTTTTAAAAAGCTAGTAATTCATCACAGGAGCCCATAACCCAGAGCGAACGACTCCCATACTAGGCCTATTGTCACGGAGCGGGAATTTTGTTCAAAAGTTAAACCACAGCAAGAAAGATGAAATTTTCCATTTATTTTAGCACTTGCGAGATCTCGATTATGTCGTAAATACTGTAAACTCGCTACGAGGTGAGTAAAATTGAGTGCGGCAGCCAGAACACTCGTCGTTGATTGTAATGATTTGCTTCTCCATTCGAATGATGTTAGCTCTTATATTAACCCCCAAAAGCAATTTAACCAAAATGGTTGGTAAGTAAGTTCAAGTTTTGCAATAGAGCTTAAATACTTAAGATCGCTCCCTGAAAGCAGCGGGCATAAGAAAATGTGACATTTATATGATTCATTGTTCTAAATAATCCAGTCTCTTAATTTGAACGAATTCAAACCACTTCGCTTGTAGCAAACTGAAACCTCTCTTTACATTCTCTGACATTCTACATGCTACTGATCTTTTGCTGAGATTAATTCTAGTTATAGACTTCCTCGTTCAATTAGCCCTCCTCCTCGAAAATACGACCCTTTTTGATCGACAGCTACTATTCGCTAAAAGCTGTATCTTTTTAGTACTGAGTAAATGGTGTTCTCCGTTGAACTATCTTGCGCTTCTGTTAAACATACATAAATTAAACAAACAATTTCACTGAAGAAATGATGTGTTATGTAGACCTTTCACTCTCAGAAGTTGCCGAAGTCAATTCGACAAGATTTCCGATCCTCATTTTGTAAAATGGAGAAAACCAAATCGTAACAAGTTAAAATACTGTCGAATTAAGAAATTTATTTGAATGGTCACCATCGCATTTCATCAACATGCAGACTCAAAAGTTATAGGACCACCATATAAGATCCCTTTATAAACTCTGGGAGTGATGCCTTTTTCTGTAACATAACATTATTAAGGTTCAAATTTTTCGTTGAGACTCAGCCTGGAAGAAATGACACCTCTCGCTGATACAAAAGAAGGATCCAAATACAAGGTAGCAACTTCAAAGTCCATTGTCTTCTAGATGCGAATCTAAGAACCTCTTTAAATTCATCCGTTAAACTGTTCAGCAACTTCACGATTCGAGAAATCTGCTGCCTACTAGAAGAGTTTAGAGTTTCCTTAGTTTTATCGTAATTGTTGTCACCATTGCACCTAAATTATACCGCACCGCTATAACATTCTGTTTTTTCACCGAGTTCTCTGCCTACTGGGGTCCTTTCTTACCTTTTTGACAAGTATTGTCCTGGCTGACTGATCTGGAAATGAGCGGAGTGCAAGGACGTCTGTGCTTAATTCAGACACTGATCGCCTCAAATAATGGCCTCTTGATATAGACGAGATACCGGTTTCAGTTGCTGAAAAGTGTTCAAATATAATATCCTTTGCTCAGTTCCAGGGACTGGTTCCCTTTTCTTCATTTGCCACCATTTTAATAAGCAGCTCGAAAGTATGAAGCTAAGTTTTTGTTGTAGATAGTTTCAGCGCCGTGTTATTACATGAACAAATGTTAACTATGAACTGCTGTTATACTCATCGTTACCTGACCCAACAAATCGAGAACACAGGTGTAAGTTAGAGGAACGGGAAATTGTCAATGTCAACATTGAGATAGCTATAACGAGTTAAGATTGATGAAAGAAGCCCATACGCCCACAGGCGTCTTTATCTTATGAATTAATATTAGTATCTTATAATAAAGTAGTTTCAACGCCACAGCTAATTGAAACATTTAAAATTGCAAAGTACTGTTTGTTGTGTTTTAAAAAAAATGTGTGGCCGGGCAAAATGGCTACTTCTTATATTGAAGAAACAGCTCAGCTGGTTCTCCAATTTTGTTGTTGTTCTTGTTCTTGTTGTTGTTTTGACAGATCAAACAACTGAAACAACTTTATTTGTATCTAGTAATTTACAGATGATACTAATTTGCAAAAAAAAGAACATTTAAGTATAGATCCGGCAACTTGATCACTTTCATTGGTTTATAATAGTGGCTCTGTTGTTCGGTTTTCAAAAGCTATCTTGTTCAGTAGCGTTTTTTGCATGCATTAGTGCGTGTACTTATAATCACTCAATTGCGGATTTTTAGTCATCAAGGCTTTCTTTAATGAGCATGTGTTCTAGAGAAAAACAGAAATTCACCAGGATATTTGCTGGCAAATACCCACGGCAATTTCAACGCAACTAACTAAAAGGATAAACTAAGCAATACAGGCTCAGAGAGGGTTCAAAATTAGAGTTATTAGATACTGAGACACAAAAAGACAGGTGTTTGTTGGACCATGCAGTAGCACCAGTTTGATGAAAATGAAAATTTTTGACCAAAGACAGCGGGCACCTTGTTCATGCGCCGCTGAAATTGGGTGCCCATTTAAAATGACACCATATCTATTTGGCAGTTAACAATACCGCTCCCTTATTTTACGGTCTTGTCAGTCCTAATGGACAAGAAATGTTAAATGGTCACATAAAAGGGAAGCGACTTTTTAAAACATTTAGCTATAAAAAACAGAAAAAATTGCGTCAATTTCACTGCCTCGTTTAATAAATGTTATTCATCAAAGACTTTAAGCCTACTCAGAGAGACTCCAATGGGCTATTGCTTTTCTTCTATTTATACAGAACATTCATACTGTATGTTTTTACCTGATAATGAGGTCCGAGAACGTCGGAACGTCGTACAGTTTTTGACTTTTTTAAACGATTTCTTAAAATATTTTAAAGAAAAGTTTTAACGAAATTTTTTATAGCTATCTGGTCACAAAGAGACAAAATACAATTGCAACGAATATCACGTATATTACTGTAAACTAAATATTGATGTATTTTGGTCAAATAAAAACTTTTCTGCCATAAGGCCACCCGGCCTCCGCCTCCGCTCACTACCTCTGCAACTCACCACTCAAGTCCCACGCGTCCCAACTACGATTCGGGAACAAAATATGAAGATATCCCCCTATGTAGGGTTCAGAGCTGATTGACCGATAGTTGGTATAATAGTTTAGAAGTTTGACAAAAACCCTTAACACACTGCATTCCCTAGACGTCGGTTGTTCAAACGTTGGATAGCGTTATCCAGCGGATAAGTATTAGGGAAAGACCAATTGCCTTATCCACTGGATAGAGATCGGGTTTATCCAGTAGACAGCCTTATCGAACTTTCGAACCACTAGGCCTAGAACGTAAACAACTTTTCTTTTCCTCAAGAGTCCCAAAAAGTCTCAGTGGGAGAAGTTGCTCCAAAACAGCTTTATTGGAAGTCCCCTCTTTCGTGGCGCATGGAAACGAGGTGCTCATGACCGCTTTTAATTAAATGAAATAGAGGCAACAACAACAAAAAATCCAAGTAGTGTTGCATGCAGTTACGATAATGTTTTTATACCCTTTGAACCTTCATAAAACTTGTCCGTCCAAATAATTTTCTCTTGCTTTTCTTTTTCAGAGTACAACTTTTTAGGTGGCTAAAAATATATTGTATCTGTCACCTGCTGATTTACGTACTTTTAAACCATTCTAGAATATTATTCATCATACCACATCTATATATGCCTCGCTTTCATGTCATAACATATGAGTGCAATATAGACAGCCAATTTGAAGGTCTAAATGATCGAGCCAAGCTTGTTAAACAAAGTATAAGCGCATAATTTTGATCTAAAAAAGTATATTTTGCGACTTTTCCGCGAATTTGCCGACAGAAGTTCTCTTTTGCGAAAGTTGTGCCAGTCTATAAAGTGATTCTGAATGTTTACCAAAAAATAACGGCTTTTATTATTTTTTTCCTGCATGAAGGGCTTAATATTCACAGTCAGGTGAACTGAGAGCTGATTGTTTTGCTAACAAATTGTGTATTCAGTAAAAACCTACGATACGGCGGCATTTAGCTAGGTGAGACAACCTATGGTGGCCGACTCGTCAAAACGACATTAATTTGTTAATTTTACATTGAACTTTAATTATTTTGAGTTGAAAATGAAGCAAAAGTTAAACGCAAAGTTATTTTCTTTTCTATTGAATTGAAAATAGATTCTTTTTTTATTATTATCATTTTCAACACAAAACAAAACATTTTTATTACGAAATGAAAATAAAAGTGAAATAAAAGCAGAAGTAAGTGATATGTTCACGGTCGGGAACTGCCATTCAAAACAGAAAAAGTAAATTAAAATTAGTATGTTCATGGCCCAGGCCGGGAACTGCCGTTAAAAACAGAAATGTAAAATTAATATGCTCATGGCCGGGAACTGCCGTTCAAAACAGAAATGTAAAATTAATATGTTCATGGCCGGGAACTAGCTGCTTTTCAAAACAGAAAAACTAAAATTAATCTATTCATGGCTGGGAACTGCCGTTCAATAAAAAGAGAAAGAAAGAAACGTAAGACTACTGTCTCCCGCCAAAAGTCTCAGGTTTCTTTCCTTTTTTTTTTTGAACGGCAGTTCCCGGCCATGAACATATTAATTTTAGTTTTCCTGTTTTGAATGGCAGTTACCGGCCATGAACATATTAATTTTAGTTTTCCTGTTTTGAATGGCAGTTACCGGCCATGAACATAATAATTTTACTTTTTCTGTTTTGAATGGCAGTTACCGGCCGTGAACAAATTAGTTTTACTTCTGCTTTTATTTCACTTTTATTTTTATTTTCATTTCATAACAAAAATGTTATGTTTTGAAAATTAACAAAATGAATCTATTTCCAGTTCAATGAAAAACAAAATAATTTGACGTTCTACTTTCGCTTTATTTTCAATACAAAATAATTAAAGTTCAATCTAAAATTTACAAATTTATTTCGTTTTGACGAATGGCAGTTGTCGGCTAGACTACGAGCAATCCCCCATTTTTCCTCAGGGATAGTAGCTAGAGCGAGCAAAACGCAAGCGCGCGTGAAAATCACCCCACGCGAGAAAAGGCGACACGCCCGCTCGCGTTTCGCTCGCTCTACTATCCCTGAGGAAAAATGAGGGACTACTCGTAGTCTAGTTGTCGGCCACCATAGTGATCTAACTTCTTAAGGTTAAAATATAGCGTTGACATTTTTTTGACGAGAGGATCGAAATGCACCAATCATAGAAAGACAGTTTTAATTGCACGTTTCCAAAGAGGTCATCTGAATTTGCTGGGTTCTTTATTTTATGTCCATTTTTTGTGATTGGTCGATTTTCAAGTTAGGTCGAGTGGATAATCCAATGAGGGACGACTTGGATATCGTTTGATCCAAAATTTTCGAAGCAGCAGTGAGAAGCAGTTTGGATAACATTCGGCCGCGGCGTTTCGAGGAACGTGTTAATATATTGTTCAATCATGTTATCCCGGGTTAAACTTACAAATGCACACACTGTTCGCGGTAGGCCCACACTAAAAAATAACACTGAGTGTTTTCGGAATGGGCTGGTCAGCGAACTCAAAGAAAAACAAAGGAAATTATCAAGACATTCAATGACATCAAAGACTCATAGACCCCATAGACGTAATAACAAATCGGAATATCAGGATTGTACGTGTAAAATGGATAAGAGTTTGAATAGAAGAATGTTGAACAAGTTTGAGGGTCGCAAGATTTGTGTAGCTGGTTATCAGTGTGACACTAGTGATTTTGATTTTTGCATTGCGGAACACAGCGAGTTGAATGTGATAAGTAATGAGTGAGGGTTTGCTTCTAAATTCAAAATATATTCAAATGGGTCACGAGGAGGGGGGTCTTCAAGCTTTACTCACACAGCCGGCTACCTCTTGTAAATTTTTGCCGGTTATTCATTTACGGCTTTGCGACCGTAAGAAGAGCTTAGGGGCTCGTTGCTTTCGACTTAAGTAACTTAATTACCGACTCGGCTTGACATGACATACTGCACCGACATTTCAGACCATCGCAGAACCTTAAATGGTTAACCGCCAAATGATTAACTCATGGAAAACAATTTTTAGAGGTAGCTGTGTGAGTAAAGCTTGAAAACCCCCCTTCTCGCGACCCATTTTAATATATTTTGAATTTAGAAGCAAGCCTTCACTCATTACGGTCATTTGCGTGGACTCTCACTCGCCCAACAAATTATTTGCGACAAAATATTATTTTCTCACACTCGGAGATGTTTCTTTTTCTTAATCATTTCTTTATTTTTCGTTTTTTTATATATATATATTTTTTATTTTATGTTATTTTGTTATTATCAATTTTTACAAAAACTATGTTATTATTATCATTTTATTTAATTAATTATTTTTTTCATGAAAATTACTTAGTTTTTCATGTTCCGGCATGTTCCGGCATGTTCGGGAATGTTCCATGTTCCTGGTTTCATCGACGCCCTGAAACGATTGTCAACAATTGAAACCAGAAGGAACTGAGGCTTCTTTTGGAACTACTGTGATAACTGCAACAATTCTTTCTATTATTTCAATTTTGTTTAGCAGGATGATGGTTAATGTACTTGTTTTTGTATTGCATGCTGTGTTTTTTCATACGATGTTGTGCGTCGGGATTTTGCGTTATCAGCAAGTTTTGTGTTAGTGTTTTGATGGCAGCGAGGTGACGACAAGAGAAGGTAATGAGCTAGTTGTACAAACGGAAAATTGTGTTGTGGAGGAAATAAAAGAATTTGAATTGAGATCTCGTCGAGGGAAATTTATTTATAACGGAACTTACAATTTCATTGGTTTAAATCAGGTTAGTCCATTATATTTTCGGCATGACAAATTACCATCGAGATTGTAATTGGAAACTCGCGTTGTTTTCAAAATTTGCATAAATCGGGCGCAACAAAGAAATATTTAGGTTACAAGCGCTTCGAAATACAACGGCATAGCTTTTACTCGTTGTGCTATATCTTTCAAAACTATCGATCGATTCTAGCTCAAAAACTCTCAAAGCAGCGGTTTAAATGTTAAAGCCCGTGGCTGGTTGAAATCGTCTCTTGTTTGTTTTCAAACGATTTAGGATGGATCGAATCGACTTTGGATCGATTATTATTTTATCCGCTTGTGGTATGAACGAAACCTTTTTCTTCTCGATAAAGTTCGCTCAACAAATTAAGAAAGATTTACTTGACTTTTCATATGTGGAACGAACTGACTTTTTTGTGGAACGAACTGACTATTTTATGGAACGATCTGACTTGGAACGATGTCAATTAACGAAATGACCGGTTACCGTCATGCCCCTAGCAGACTACCAATGAACAAATTAAAATCTTTGTTACAGAAAACACGGAAAGTGACACTTTTTGTGTAGAAGAGTATTCGGAAAATACCCCATTGTCGTCTGAAATTCATTGTTACGTTAAAAGTAGAAAAGGTTTACACTTAAACAGGTACAGAAGTAACTGTAGCAGTGTGAGGTTTTTACTTAAGGGCAACTCCAAAACTAGACTGGAAACGAGGGAAGGTGTATCTATCGTCCAAGCATTAGAGCACAGGCGATTTAGGTGGAATGAGATATCCAAATAGGCTTCTAAGTAAGAATTTGCCCCTCTGTACTTGCAATTAGGGACTGTGCAATAATTATCAGGAGGGGGGGCCCTAAAACCAGAGGGGGGGGGGGCCTTAAGTTAAAAAAATGGAAAGGAGGGGGGCACATCAGATTTCTCAAGTAAGTTGAGGGGGGGTCTTAATTAAATTTCACAAATTCGATAATGAATAAATAAACATTTTCCAAATAGACAGATGCCACTCCTTTGACTATCCATAATGTCTAAATATTGCATCAACATAAACACATGCTTTAACTTATTTAGAATGTCAACATATGATAGATTGAAACAATCGTCCATGCACAGAAGTCACAAGCCACGTTGTGAGCTTTGCTAATAAAACATTTGGCATTTAAGAGGTCCCGCAGACATGCCAGGTCTGTTCTTGATTTAAACAGCGTGAGGGTTTCTAGGTCTACAGTTTCTAGCTGAGGAATGCCACATGCTTCTGTTTCATAGTTGTCATCACTTCATAGAGCACCAAAAATTCCTTGCAATGAAAGCAAAAAAACGGGCAACGGAAAGGAACAAACTTGCAGACATTAATTGGTCCGACGAGGTTGAAGTCAACTCGCTGTCTGCAAGTAAACTGAAACTCTACCTAAAGGAACACGGTTTACCCGTCAGCGGAGGGAAACCAGCACTCGTAGCTCGTGTTCTAGGTGATGGGGAAGCTCAAGGTAAAGAAAACCCGGATGAGCAGCAATCTAGCAGTTTCGAAGACCAAGAAGATAATGAACAATCAGACGATTCGGAAATTGACGATTATGAACGAGGAACAAAGTTTCGAGGTGCTCTTCATCCCTGACGACGCAGTGGAATGCGTTGCAGTACAGTGAGTAAAGGTACGGGATAGAGAGGGGGGGGGGGCACATCATAATTTTGAGAGAACGTGAGGAGGGGTCAGAGCTAATCTTGACGCTGCTGGAGGGGGGGACCTATCTAATTTTTCCTTTGGTGAAGCTCATTTTAGGACCCCCCCTTCCTGATAATTATTGCACAGTCCCTTATCTATTTTATCGTGCTTAAAACAGTTTGAATCACCGGGTTAATTTTGGCCAATTTAAGCTTTGTACTGATATAGAGAAGAATGGCCTTCAGTTTATGTAGATGCTACAAAAACAATTAATGCTCCATACTGTCAAAGAAATGTTACAGGATTTGGGGAAAATGGTGGACAATGATGTGTCGCAATGGGTCTGTGCACTTTAATTTCCCGGAGGGGGGGGAGTACTTTAGGGATTTCTTGGTAGGGATGTTCCGCTGAGACCCTGGAACCCTTAACCTATACCAGAGCTAGTTCAGCTAAATTTTGGTACCCTATACTAGAGTAAACTCCCCAAATCCCCCTATCCTAGAGGAGCTGTTTCCCTAGTTTAGATAAAATCTTCAACCAACTGATCAGTTTCCTGAAAAATGATACCCTATTCTAGACCCAAACGCTCTGATTTATATACCCTATCCCAGAGTAAACTGCTTGAAAACCATACCCTTCCCCGCTGCACATACCTATATAGACCATATATGGCAGTACCCCCCCCCCCCCGGGTTTAATTTACAGTAAGATAACAAAGATGGCTTCAGTTGATGATATGACTCAAATAATGATTGTTGGTATTCAATTATATTCTTGTGTGCTTCTTTGCTTGCAAGACAATCTATGTCAATGTTAACAGAATTGCCAGGAATGGTTACAGTGTTTGAGCAATTTTTCCACCTTGAATACAGTGACAGTTATACTTGTAACATCCATCACTACTGTATATGCCACTCACAGGCTACAGCATTTCAAACACTCTTGGCACTGAACTACAATTCATTCTTTTTAACGGTGGCAATTATTGGTGTTGGTATCTACAGCACTGAGGCTGGGGGATATAATGTATTTGATTCTCATGCTAGAGACATGTGTCATAACAGTCATAGTAAAGGGACATTTGTATTATTGGGAATACCATCCATGCATAAATTAGTACAATATTTTCAGACTCTACATAGGAATGAGAATATATATGAACTTAAAGGAGTACATATTGCCACCTTTGAACCTCATCTTTTCTCAAGCAATGTTGAAAATTGTAGTATATCAAATGTTAACAGTTACCAATGTTCCTGTAAACAGTGCTGCCCTATAGCAGTTTATGCAATGGGCTCCTGACTCTCTTCTTAATCCTTGTGGATACTGGACTTAAGGAACTTTATTTGCCCGTGTTAGTAACCGGAATACACTGTACAAAGTGACGGGTGTGAAAACACATCTGTCAGTATCAGTGGAGCTGAGATAAACCTTACTCTCCGGGCTGTAACCACTTATGTCCTATGTTGCATTTTGGCTCCAAGCATGTCTGCATTGAAGATGTGCATATTTTCAAACATTGTCGTGAAATGACACTATATTTGTTGTGGATTGGGACATACTGTATAAGCTGTGTGGTTCAGCAAACAAGTGGAGTAAAGGATTTGTCTTCTCTGGTAAGATATGATGACAGTTCTTTAGCTGCAATAAGGCATGTTCAAAGTATCATAACCGTAGTACGACCACGCCCAAATATACGCTCACACAGCGTCTTGTTTTATTTTATACTTATCGTGGTTACTCGTGGAAATTCCTCCTAAAGAGCAAATTTAGCCATTATAACTACTTTAATGACTAGAAATCTATTAAGTTTCCTATCCTTTTCACTTTTTTTTTTTTGGATGCGTTTCGATAAAAGGAGAGAATAAGAAATCGTGCGCGACGCGCCACATTGCACGATGTCAAGGCACGGTTAAGCGTGACACGAAATGTCACGCACTGAATATAACGAAATCGCCTTATTCTAATTGTTCTAAAATAGGTATGATGAAGTCGAACACAACAAATAAAAAGCCACCAGGGGTCTTACATCCCAGCATAAAGAAATGAATTCAATTACCTTTCTAAAGGACGTACGGCCACTTTTGAGATTCAGACAATCGGCGACAAAATTGTTGAGACATTGTACTTAAATAGGGTAATTTCGGAGAACAAAAGAATTCGCACCCCTCCCCTGTCCCCTCCATTCAAAGTTGGGGTGTTTGTTGTTTTCTATAGGTAGCTAGAACAAGGGCACAACATTGCACGGAGGGGATGGGGGAGAAAGCTATATTTCCTCCTTTTGAAGTTAATAAAACGTAAAAAAGCCCAGTTTTGGGCGAAGTGTCTCAACTCATTTTGTCGCCGATTGTAGGAGCAGCTGCGGAAAAAGCATTATCACCATACGTCTTTAACCTAGTCCTAGGCACGGCTAGAAAATTCTGGGAGCTAGAACGAAGTAATCGTGGACCATTAGTGTAGCGTAAAAGTTCGGATAGGTAAACTAAGAGTAAAATTTTAAAATGTATGCGATAACCCAGCGGCAACCAATGAAGTTTGAACAGGATAGGAGTGATATGGTCAAACCGCTTAGATAATGTAACAATGCGTGCAGCACTGTTTTGTATCAGTCTTAACCTGTTTAACAGGTGTTTAGGAAGACCATATAACAAAGAGTTACAGTTATCGAGTATAGAGCTAATAAACGCATGTACTAAAATTTGAGACTGAGGATCTTCACTTAAGTACTTTCTGATCTTAGCTATGTTCCTTAAATGATACTGACAGGAAACGCAGATTTTGTTAACATGGTCGGTTAAATCAAGACACTGATCTATAATCACCCACAGATTTCGGGCGAAGGGTTTGGGTTGGATCTTCTCATCAACTACTTGGATAAACTCTAGAGAAGGCCTGCAACGAAATTTTGAGGTGATGAGAACAAGTTCAGTTTTATCCTGGTTGAGTTTAAGACCATTGTTCACCATCCAACAATCAATGTCGTTTACACAGCATTCGACACGACGAATAGCCAAAGAGAGATCATAGCTACAGTCAGTTCTAAACGATATATAGAGCTGGGTATCATCAGCATATAAATGATACTGTAACTTGTGGAACTTTATGATATCAGCAATGGGTGTTGTATAGAGGAGATAAAGAAGAGGGCCCAGAACAGATCCTTGGGGTACACCGCGTTTTAGAGAGCGCTGTGTTGACCTACAGTCATTGACCCGAACAAACTGCATGCGCGACGTCAGGTATGACTCAAACCATGCAGCTGCAGTACCGTTTACTCCGAAGCGGTCATGCAATCTTCATAACAGTATCGAGTGATCAACCGTGTCGAAGGCAGCTGACAAATCCAATAAAAGAAGTATAACAAACTCATTGTTGTCAAAAGCACACAGAATGTCATTCTGGACCCTTACTAAAGCTGTCTCGGTGGAGTGAAAGTTCTTATATGCAGACTGAAACGTTTCATCTAGGTGGTGCGCCATGACGTGATCTGTGAGTTTTATGGCAACTGCCTTTTCAACAAGCTTCGATACTACTTTTAAGTTCGAGATAGGACGAAAGTTTTAGAACTGTTCAAAGTCAGCATCAGATTTTTTCAATGTGGGCGATAGTGTAGCAACCTTCAGAGCATCGGGCACAACACCAGTCGATGAGGACAGATTGATGATCCTCGTAATAGTAGGAAGTAATATGGTAGCCTTTCAAAACTACCGCAGGTAGAAGATCAAGTTCACAAGATTTAGATAGTGGTTTCCTTGAAAACTTTTTTATTTCCTCCAGGGTAACCTCAGCAAAGTTACAAGAAGCTAAATATTTTGAAAATTAAAACTAAAGAGGTATCAGATTTAGAGTGAGATAACTCCAACGAGGGGATCAGAAGACTGTTTCAAAAACAAACGGAAGGTTAAAACAAAATTTTAAACGGGGGACTACCAGCTTCTTTTAAAGACGATTTTTTTTACTGCTCTCTTATATTCAGTACAATTGGTACAATTCTCTCTGATGAACGCCGTGGTACCTCCTTTATGTAATATGCCAAAAACTCACCTGCTTAACTCAAATTAATGTTTACACTGACGTAAGTCGTCTCTGATGACTAGAAGATACTTAGCACGAAACTTTGAGCTATTCTCACCGGGGCCATCTCGTACAAACGCCCCAAATCTCTTCGAGATTCAAGGATAAAAATTCCCGCGCGCTCGTAGTCTCCTGGGTGTTCTGTTTCAAACAGGTTTTGTATAAATAGGCCTGTCTTGGCCTGTTTAATTCTGTTTTCGTTAAACGTTCGCCAGTCGTTAGCTTGGCGTTCTTTTTCTCTTGCACGGTCATCGCTGCGCCATCTTCTAAGATTCTCTTCGTTCTTCGTTTTCCGTGCAGGACCAAGTCCCTGTTGTTCCTGCGGATGGGGCTGTTGCAGCGGCCGTTGACCCTCCAGTTGTAGCGCCTCCGCCTCCAGCCGACGCTGCCGGTGACAACAACGCACAGAACGCTTACGACAACGTGGTTCCTGCGCCCCAACCTGCGGTTCAGGAGGTTAGTGTTTTCTCTTGTCCTAATCTAACACTAATCTGATAGTCCTTTGATAGTCAACTGTGCACTGGAACTCCGAAATCGGTGGTGCTGGAGCTGTTCTTTCTGTAGTGGGGTCACACCAGTGGCAGTGAAGTCGCGGGCCCTAAGACGCTCAGAGCTGTTCAATACGCTCGACGAACACTTCATGAACACTTATGTAACCAACTGATAAGAAAGTCGTGTTTACCTGTGGAACGGACTTCCATCGAATTATTTCACTTATTGACAAGTACAGAAGACTGTTAATCAAGTACGAAAATTGACTTTCATCGTTAATTTTTCGCTTCTCATGGTGTTTTTCGCTACATTTCTTACCTTTCCGACAATAGGCAGTAGACAAATACTGAGGTGGCTGGTTGTCTTGCAGGAACAGATTTAATATTCAAATATATTTGCGTTCAGTTCTTGCTCTCTTCGTAGCAAGCACCGAATTCAGACGCTGAATAAATGTATTAGAATCTCACTATCGCTATTTTCTCGCATACGATCATGCTTTACGACGAAGCCTCCAAAACGCTATATATTTCATCCTTGCAGCTCGTTGTTTGACTATGTTGAAGTTGCGTGGGTTGAAGCAGGATGTTGCAAAGAGCTCAGAACCGAAAATGCAAGAAGGCATTTTGGTTTTTAAGTGATCATACAATCTGGTACCTTGGTTTGTTAGTACCCTACAAGAAAAAGGGCTTTGCACGATCCTGCCACTGGAAGAACAAAAAAACTGCGCCAACCAAAGCCTGAACGCAATACATGGGCAAAATAACTTTTCAAGTTGGCGGGGACTATATTACTATTCTCCCCTTGTCAGTATTAAAAGCGCCCCGTCCCTACATACTCAAAAAAAGTATGATAAGTAATCATTTTTAATTCATAACATTTATTTCTTACTATCTTTACACATTTTTTTAAATATTGACCTTCGTTGTATATTTTTCCATGTCTACTGCTACTACCACTTGAGACTGATTATTATCACATTTAATGTAAATGAATTCAACTGACTATTTTATAAATATACATGACAAGTAATTTCATTCATCTCAACATGCTTTGAATTGAGAGACAATCCTATCTCCGGAATAACTACTCCTATGAATGGCCTAAAAATACTATATGTAAGTAATGATTAAATTTTTATCTTTTCTTTTATTTAAAGTTGTTTTAATTAGTTAATTAAATAATTAAGAATCAATTAAATGCAGGTGGCTTTTGCACTACAGTAATATTTTGTTATAGTCATTCAAAATAAGCTTGTTGTTGTAATCTTGAACATATTTTCACATTCAGGTTTTCTTATCATTTCTTCTTCTACTATAGGAAATTTTAAAATACACCGCTTTGTTTCCCATGATCCTTTGAATACCAGCCTCGTGGCTGAATGGGCTACCTTGGTTAAATAACATTTCTTACTTTCCCACGTACTTACTTACTAAAGTAGAGAAGTGATGACGTCACAAAAACTAAAATTTAAAAAATTATTAGATTTTAAGATCCATGATATTTTTAGGAGCATTATATGGAGTCATCATAGCATTATTGCATAGAAGCCTTGGGGTCGAGGTTGTCATTGTCTTGGGAGAGCAGTACAAAAAAAGCGGAATATTTCAAACGTTTTGCAAAGATCAAATAACCGAACTACTGCCAAAAACAGCAAGAATACAACTCGACAGACGACGCTCACTATCTGGAGAATATCCGCTGCAGAACTGATCATCCCTTTATCTCCTGAACTTGCAGAGAAACAATGAAATGAAGAGGGAACTTAACATCGATCGAGGCAAGCATGTTTTAGCTTGTTTTTAAACTGGAAATTATTTTCAGTGAATCAATAACAAATTAAACAGTTATTGGATTCGGCTGTCGTATGATCTGAAGAATTATAGTAATCTCGATCTCCATAACTCTTCAGATTATACTCAGCCTCACTCAACAAATCCTAAAAAATGAAATTTTTGTGACGTCACACTTTTCTACTTACTTACTTTCTTTACCTATGCCCTGTACTTACTTACTTACTTTGCTCTTTGACGGAGATCAGACTCATAAAAGCGAATCTCATAACAAGAGAATGTATCAGATATTAAACTAAGTTTACTTGAAAGTACGACAATATGATAACACGTAATTCACACCTGTCACGTATTATTACATTTACTAGTACATTTTCAGTTCCTTATACTGTTCCTATTGATCCAGTTATTACTGGTTAGAATATAGTTTTTGGTGTCTAGAGTCCAAGTAAACTAATGTTATCTAATTTTCCCCTAGTTCCCATAAATATTTACGTACACACTAACTAAATTAACTACACTACCCCGTTTACTTTAAATAACAACTAGTAAAACAAATTCTGGTAAGTGATGGAACAACTGGAAACAGAAATAAATAAACTAAAGGAGAGGAAAACAAAAAACAAAACAAACAAAACCGGAAGAAGTGAATTGAAGTATTAAAGTATGGCGGACTTGAAAGGAGTGGATAATAGATAACTAATTATATAACCAAGCATATAGTTTATAAAGCCCATAAGACTATGCCTATATATTTAGATTACTCCTGTCCTATCCGAATTTTAGGCGACAGAATGAGCGTTTGAAATGTTAACAAATGCTTGGTAAGGTAAAATTTAGCTAGGGTTTCAGAGACACGTCAGGGACTGGTCATTATTTATCGGGAGAGGTGGGATGGTGCAAATGGGGGGTGGGCCACCATTTTTTATGCATGGCTTAAGGTGACTCGACCCAGTTTTTTTGTGGGGGTACCATCCTACTTTGAAGCCCTCTGGTATCCCCACCTTTACTTTTATCGTAAGTCTAACACATAGAATGGATAACATATAGATCAATCTACAATATAACATAAAATTTTTGGCGATCGGAGTAAATGTCACGTGGTTATAATGCCACGCCCCTTTGAGGTCTGAGTCGAAAATCTGCTGTTGCCGGCATTTTTTGGTGAAAATCTCTCGGTTACACATAGTGCGCATTAGTGCCTTGCGCTGAACAGAGTTTCACCAAAATCGCAAAGACCCAATTCGAGAAATTCAGCGGTTTCCATAATTTATGCGAAAATGATAAGCAAACTTTACACGATTATATCTAATAAACTATGAGACTTATCCCTTTATTTTGGGGATCGTTATAACAGATGGGTCCTTGCAAGTCAGCAAAAAGCTTTAGGGCTTGTAAATGCGCGCGATTTCGAGCAAAGCAAACATATAGAAATTATAGTTTTAGCTATTTGTTGACGTTTGTCAGCGTTTAAGAGTCCTTCTCACGAAAAAAGCATTTTCTTAAAAATTCGTAGTTTTTTTCCCTTCAAATTTTTTCAGGACCACAATTGATTAACTGACTACCCGGATTCTGAATTTCATGGTCATTGAAATCTGTGACATTATCTTCTATAAGCCCAAACTTGAGTAAACATTGAAGATTTTTAGCGTTTTGACTGAGTTTGTGCTTTGGGAGTTGTCTATTGTTTCTAGTCTGTCATTCTTGTTCAGCACGCGTGCAATAACCACGCTTGGCTGACTTCCGAATGCTCACTAAGGGAAAAGCCCTGGGGACGAGGTTGACACACTTTTTGTTTCATGCATGCCGGAGGACAAGGGGGGATGGGGGGGGGGTCATCAAAAATCGTGTTAAAGTAAAATGGGGGTCAGCGAAAATCAAGCATTCTCTATTTTCCAATTGCCCATAATACACTCTGTTTGCCCCCAAATTCTGCATAAACCATTCTTTTAAATGCTCCTGGGAGTATTGCATTTTCCCAAGAGCATTTTAAGACAATAAGTTATGCAAAATTTGGGGGCAAACAGAGGTATTAAAACAATTGGAAAAAAAATCAATGGCATATTTTACATTGCACCAGCCCCCCCCTCGACAAGTATTACATAGTGCGATGGATTTATTACACAATACGACAGGTATTACAAAGTGCAATGATTATTAGAACTATGATTGCCAACGTACATTCATATTATTATACTATAAAGTTCTGATGCACATTTCGAGTCATCTCTATTAACTGACCATGTACCGGCTTGACAAGTTATTGACGAAACTGAAATAGGTTTTGACTATTTTCGCAAACCCCATAAATCCCTTTCTTCAACCCCCCTCCCTACCCTCACATTTTGCATAAGTTCTTGTTTTCAAATGCTCCTGGCAATATGCAGTCCTCCCAGGAGCATTTAAAAACAATTATTAGTTTATGCAAACAGAGTTTATTATGGGGTATTCAAAGAGAGAAAAAATCGTTAGTAATTACTTCTTCTTCTTCTTGTAGAGGCGTGTGTGGCCGGGTGGCTAGCACCTCGAACTCCGGATCTGGAGGTCCGGGGTTCAAGCCTCGCCCGTCTCCAGTGCGCCGTTACCTTTACCTTTACCTATATATTTACCATATTGAACCAAATTTTAATAAGTTACGTAATAAGTAAGTAATAAGTATTAATAAGCTATGCATAATATTACTTTTTTCAGTAAGAGGGCAAATAATCCCAGAGGCGGCGGAGCGTTTTGAACCGTGGGGGGATTAGGCGGGGGGGGGGCTCATCTTCCACTCAGACATACGCACACCCCTCCTCAAATTTTTCAAAATGCCATTTGCGTTGTTCGTTGGCACAAGCAATCTTCACAGTGTCTAGCGTGTCCGTAATCGATTTGTGACAATACACCAGTAGGTAGTTGTTCAGGCGGTCCTGCTTCATTGTGCTTCTTAAAGTCGCTGATGTCACGGGTATTGTCAAATACATCGGTAAAAGTGTTTTCGGCACCAAAACGTGGGGAGGCTCTGCACCGCTCCCGACTTCACCGACCGCTCCCGACTTCACCGACTTCTGTGACCTGTGATCACTGCCAATCGAAAGTTTTACAAGAGGTAGTTTAGCGAGCATGAAGATGAAACACAGCAGCAGCTGCATTTTGTCTTTGCCGACGTGTAAACAATAACAGGAGAGCTTTCCTAAACTCGGGCATTCTTATTGTGTAAATCGCGGGATTAACAAACGAGTTTGTATAAAATAAAAGCAGAAAAGGCAAATTTAATCGCGTTCTTTTTGTGTAAGAAAGTGATCGAATGCTATCAGTTGTATAGAAAACAAAGGTACCTATAGCATATGGTAGCCACAACAGTAATGATACAATAGTCATGATGAGTAACGTTACAGTCAGTTTTCTTTGCCTACGGGCTGCACCATGGTGCTGAGGACGCGCCCCACAACAAATTTTGACAATAATCGAGGCGTAACAAGCACAGATAACAAAAAGGCATAATAAGCAATATGATTGCCATAAAAACTGCCTGTGTGACCGTTCTTTGTCGAACAATTTAAGCATGAAAATGGCAGTTGATATCATCCCAGCTAAAACCCAGACCACAGAAATTGTTACCCCGTAGACCCATTTTTTGATAACGCGATGCCTGAATGGACGAAATGTTGCATGCATCCGCTCTAACGAAATTACAGTTATGTTTGTAAGAGAGGTTAGAGGAAACCAATAGAAAAGAAACCAAGTTATCATGTACCCGTCCCAAGGTAACCTTACAATCACAGTTTTGCATTCCATGCGTGAATTAATTGAGAGTATATATATAGTAGAAAGTCCTCCAACCAACATGTCAGCTATGGTCAAGTTTATAACCAAGTACATGCCACGAGTGCGAAGATTACTGTTTGTTATGAAAAGAATGATCCATAGAAGATTCACTGTTACTATAGCAACAGAAACGGTAAGGAATGCAGCAAACCAGTTAATGCACTCGGATGTGGAAAGCATCGTGGATAATTTCTTTTCGCTTACCACCTTCAGTTGCTCTGCTACCTGTACAAAGATGAATTCAAGTAAAGGTTGCTTAGTTGGAAAAGAAACGTTAGGAGGTGAACTAAAAAGAATGACTTCAAGTCCTCCAAGATCTGTAATGGAGACACATTGAAAGAGCGCTCACCTCAACCCTAAATAAGCTATTCCTTAGCCGTGTGTCGTCACAAAAGCTGAAGTAACGGTCTTGCTTTCACCTTTAAAACAAAAAAAATCAAAAGTAGCGCACGAGGTTAGAGTAGATGATGAATTGGTTGACAGGCCGCTGAGGGCGAAAAATTTTTATCTCCAATCTCACATACTGCGGCTGACTATATTTTACAAATCAAAGGTAAACCTAAGCATTGAGTCGAGAGTTCATTTAACTCTTTTATGACCCGGGGTCAAATATCAAGATTGAGGCAGGAAAAAATATTGCATCTGGAAACTCTTTGCAGCAATTACAAAAAGATTAATTTTGTAGTCATCATAACTCAAAGATTTATTTTACAAAACGTAACTTATCTAGAATCAATATGCCACTCGAAGTTTTTTATCACGTGGAATCAAACTTGACCTTAGCTGTTTTTGTCGACTGACTCCGATAAATATCTTGGCGACAAATCGCTTCTGCCCAACAGAAAACTGAAAACTTAAAGACAACGACGAAAAGTAATTTTCTTTCTTAGGCCCGGTTCAGATGCCTAACTTTTCATGAGCCAAACCTAATTCTAATATTAAGGCCGACCCAAATTATTTAGACCAGCTGAATTGATTCTGCCGAGCTAAAATCAAAAGGAGAAAAGTGCTCATTTCGGTCAAACTACTTACAAAATGCGTTATTTAGCAATTAATGAATGAGTCTGAGTAGGATATGAAGAATTAAGCAGATCGAGGAGGGTGTTATCTTTCAGAAAAGCGGGAATCTTTAAAACGGGGAGTCTTTAAAATGGGGAATCTTTACAACGGGGAATCTTTAAAAGAGGGTGTGAATGGGGTTAACCGACTAGCGACAAAGGGCGAAAAATATTACTGACTACCGACAAAATGAGTAAAAAATTACCGACTACCGACAGGAAAAATACTAACCGACTACCGACGTGGGCTGATATTATCAATATTTTTTTCCAGAAAAAAGAGCATTTTGTATCTATTCTAACCGTTAGCTCGAGGAAGTAACCTTTTTAAATTTATGACTCATCAGATGGCCTAAGGGAAAGAATTTCCTTTTTTGTTGTTGATACAGGTACATTGCTACAACCAATATCAAAATCACAAAGTCAGACCTTAAAGATGATACCGACTTTATAAATTTTATTGAAAAGTCAAAGGTGGAAAAACCGAACGTTTTTTGCTTAGATTAATCCTCAAAGAAAATTCTTTCCCGTTTAATGTAAAGAACTATCAGTACAACCCACGTTACCGCGATGAGTACAAAGACAGCAGTTTCCTTTCCAACATTTTCATGGCACATATTGAAACACAAAGTTTAAGCAAAACCGTCTTTAAACCAACTGTTTGAAGACGCTACATAAATGCCATTTTTTCCCTATGGGACATAAGTAAACCAGACATCGTAGCTTTCTTCGCGGAACAAGTAAACTTACATGCCCTGCTACGAAATTCACGGCCGAAATATCTAAAAATGAGACATTCTTTTCAGAAACGGTTGTATACCAAGGCACAACATTCAGTGAAAAAATGAGGAAAAGCTATCCTTGACGTAAAGACGCACTTGAAACGGAAACCTTACAGTATATACATTTTCACCTCTTATCACCCACCAATTGTTAAAGGGCCTGTTTGACAGACGAGAAGCCTTGAGAATCCTACGAACAAACTCCTCTGAGGAAGTATTTCAGATTTCAAAACGCTTGATGGACAGAGGCTAGCCACAGTTTTGAAAGAAAAATTGCTATTAGAAGTAAAACTCACAGAAAGGAAGGCAGCGCTCGTGAAAAAAAAAAAAAAAACAGCCAGGAAGAAAAAGATTGAAATATTGCCTTTCGTGACACAATACCAGCCCTTAGTGTCTATAAAAAAAGAAGCTTTAATGAAAAAGTGGAATTTCATACAAAACCAACCACTAACTTGCCAAAATTTTAAAGAAGCACCTAAAGTGCTATTTCTTTGAGAAAGGAAAATTATGGCAAAGGACATGCTTGTTAGAACCACAGGCGGCCCAGACGTAGTATGTGTCACTGAATGAATATATTAATATTCACATGGACAAATTAATGCGATGAGTCGTCGAAACTCCAATGAACTAAAATAGTCCAAAAATTAAAATATAACAAAATAAAGCTAAGATGCCTTTAACTGAACGTATCCTTGTCTTTCCTGGCCGGTTTAAGTGGCATTTTGTTGAGTTTTGCAATTGTAGGTACTATAGAAGAATTAAAGGCTGGCTACAAAACAAACAGACCATCTCCACGCGCCTTCACACGAAGCGCTATAAATTCGAGAATAATCGACGAATCCGCTCCAAATAACCATCGGCTAATCTGCAGGTAACGTGTGCTCCTGCTTCTGGCTCGCTTGCTCCACAAAACCCATCGCAACTGCACAATAATTGCTCGCTCATCAACAACCACTGTTGACCTTTACGCTTCGATATGACCGCAAACGACCAGGTATAATACGCGACGTGAATATTCAAGCTTAGCGACAGCGTTCGCGCAACAATGCAGCACTTGCTATGGGAGGGATGGTACTATTGCTTCTAGGTCAATCAATCGGGAAAATAATATTGAAGCCCTTATAATTTTTAAAAAGATCCAATTTGCCCTAGGAGCACCGAACAGATACGAATCTTATAGCGGAGCTAAAAAAAAATGAGCAGTAATTTTCGGGAGCCTTTTCCTGGCTGAAATTTTCGAAAAGGTAAGTTTTGATCCCTATGATTTTCGGATCACTAGACTTTCAGCTAGGAAATCCGAACAGATGAAAAATTTTTAGGGGATAAAAATATGCCTATATCTACCTTTTAAATACTAAAATACGTTCAACAATGCTATGTTAAGTGGTTTTGAACTATATCCTCGTTGGGTGCTCATGTCCAAAGACTACTACAAAGCTGATTTAAAACAACGAGTATTGTTTTTTATAACAATATTTCGGCTGGCCATACCAGCCTTCTTCAGGTTTACAGATGTTACTAAACTTATGTATCACAATATTATATAGATGGAGAATGTCGCACTAAAAATTGTTTTAAAAGGGAGATGCGGAAATGACGTACGACATAAAAACTGGAAAGGAAAAAATTCGAAGGATATGGATTACAATAATTCGTCACGGCGGCTTCAAATATATCACGACGTCACGTTTACGTCGGGATTATGTTTAGAGGGTGTGAATGGGGTTAACCGACTAACGACAAAGGGCAAAAAATATTACTGACTACCGACAAAATGAGTAAAAAATTACCGATTACCGACAGGAAAAATATTAACCGACTACCAACATGGGCTGATCTTATCAATAAACGGTACCGCGATGAGCACAAAGACAGCAGTTTATTCCTTTCGAACTTTTTCATGGCATATATTGAAACACAAAGTTTAAGCAAAACCGTCTTTAAACCAACTGTTTGAAAACGCTACGTAGATGACATTTTTTCCCTATGGGACCTAAATAAACCATACATCGTAGCTTTCTTCGCGGAACAAGTAAACCTACATCACCCTACTATGAAATTCACGGCCGAAATATCTGAAAATGAGACACTTTTTTTAGAAACCGTTGTATACCAAGGCACAGCATTCAGCGAAAAATGAGAAAAAGTTATCCTTGACGTAAAGAGAGGGTGTGACTGGGGTTAACCGACTACCGACAAAGGGCAAAAAAAAAAATTTCCGACCACCGACAAAACGCAAAAAAAAAAAAAATTACTGACTACCGACAGGAAAAATGTTAACCGACTACCAACATGGACCGAAATTGCCTATATTTTTTTTTCAAAAAGAAGAGTATATTGTATTTTTTCTACCTTTCTAGGAAGTAACCAAAGATACCACGTCACAAGTCTTTACAAATATACCACAAAACGAGGGTATTGAAATCGGTTTGCAGTGCGTATGAAAATTTCTACAAAGCGACCCGCCTAGTCCTACACATTTAATACATGCGAGAAATGCTTAGATTAATCCTCAAAGAAAATTCTTTCCAGTTCAGTGGAAAGCTCTACCTACAAACCCACAGTACCGTGATGGGCACGAAGACAGCAGTTTCCTCTGCCAACATTTTCATGTCATGTTGAAACATAAAGTCTAAGCTATAACGTCTTTAAACCAGAAATCGTAATATCTTCGAAGAAGCAAACTTACATCATCCTACTATTAAATTTACCAACGAAATTCACTGGGACAATGGTTTTAGACACAGTTGTATGCAAAGGCTACCAACACAATTTGAAAGAAAAATTGCAATCAGAAATAAATGAAACTCACAGAAACCGAAGTCGGCGCTCCTGAAACAAAACAGCAAGGAAGAAAAAAAAGAAAGCTGCCTTTCGTGACGCAATACCAGCCCTTAGTGTCTACTGTAAAAGAGGCTTTAATGGAAAAGTGAAATCGCATAAAAAACTAACCGCTACTTTGCTAATTTTTTAAAGAACCATCCCTTATTTCCAAAAAGAAAGGAAAACCATGGCAAAGAACATGCTTGTTAGAGCCAACATGTTAAAGGTCAACACACGGTTTTAGGCCGGTATAGATGTCCAACCTGTCACCTCTTGCAGTTTTTCACCTAAAATAATTTACGTATCCAAAAAGTTAGAGTGGGCGTTTCCCTCTGTCAAAATTAACCTCTCTTCATTACTTTTTATGGTGCCCTGTAATCAACAGGGAAACCAAGTTCGCATTTGCAATAAAAGCTTTGTTGATTTTATTGGTACTACATTGGCAAACAAAGGTGAAATAATTAAAAAATCATGTTGCATAATGAAGTTTAAGTTCAATCAAATGATGCATTTTTACAAGTTTTACACGTTTTATAGGGATCAAAATCTGGAAACTGAGTGAAACGCGTAACAAATATTTATTTAATAATTAACATGCATTTTTACTTATTAACTGAGATAAACCGACAACCGACAAAGATCGAAAATTTTAACTGACTACTCGGAAAAAGTAACTAAATTTTAACCGACAACCGACAAGTGGACCCCCCCATTCAGACCCTCTAAAGACGCATTTCAAACGGAAACCTAGCTTACTGTCAGTATATTACATTTTCACCTCTTATCATCCACCAGTTGTTAAAGCGCCTGTTTGACAAGCGAGAAGCCTTGAAAATCCTACGAACAAACTCCTCTGAGGACTAAGTATTTCAGATTTCAAAAGCGCTTGATGAACAGAGGCTAGCCACACAATTTTGAAAGAAAAGTTGCTATTAGAAGTAAAACTCACAGAAAGGAAGGCAGCTCTCCTGAAGCGAAACAACAAGGAAGGAAAAGAAACAATGCCTTTCGTGGCACAATACCAGCCCTTAGTGTCTATTATAAAAGATGCTTTAATGAAAAAGTGGAATCTCATACAAAACCAACCACTACCTTGCCAAAATTTTAAAGAACCACCTAAAGTGCTATTTCTTTGAGAAAGGAAAATTATGGCACAGGACATGCTTGTTAGAGCCAAAACATAAGAGGGATAGATGTGCAGCCTGTCATCCCTTGCAGTTTTTCACTAAACATAATTTAAGTATCCAAAAGGCTAGAGTCCATTAATTAATTAATTAATTAATTACTTTTTCCTGTGCCCTGTAGTCGACAGGGAAACCAAGTTTGCGTTAATAATAAATGTTTGGTGATTTTATCAGTACCATATTCATTTGGCAAACAATGGAAATAAACGATAAACGATCATGTTGCATAAATAAACAAGATTTAATGAACGGTTTAGGTGTGATCAAATGATGCATTCTTACAAGTTTTACTATTTCCTTAGGGATCAAAGTCTTCAAAAGTGGGTAAAATACATAAAAAATATTTAACAATTAATGATTGAGGCTGAGTATCGTATGAAGGATTATGGAAATCGAGGAGGGTGTTATTCGTGGAGGTCGTAGGCCGAGGCAGATAACATCCTCCGAGATCTCCATAATTCTTCATATGATACGAAAGCCGAATTCAATAATTGTTTTATTATTCATTCCAAAAATTCCTAGTTTAAACACATAGCTAAAACAAGCTTACCTGCGTCGATGTTAAGTTTATCTTCGATAGTTTACGCCCAGTTTAGGTTTGTCCAGCTCCGCAAATATTCTCCAAATAGCAGATGTCGCCCCCCGAGTTGTCTTCTTGCTGTTTTTACTATGTTTTTAGCCATTATTTCGGCTAGTTCCAGCTGTAGTTCTTACTCTAGAAACGAGTGAAGTGTCTGCCATTTTAGTTTTTACCATGAAAACAACTTAATCTCGTCCCCAGGTCGTCTCGGTTGACGGTGGATTAACCTGAAGAAGGCTGCATTTTTGACGTCATTTCCTCGTCAAACACAAAATTCTTCCAAATTTGGTCATCAGTAACTGGTTATGGTGAAATATGTGTGTGCTTTTAGCCAATCAGAATTGGGGAAATATTTTGAATGAATAATAATAATAATTAACAAGCGTTTTTACTCATTAACTGAGATTTTCCGACAACCGACGAAAATCGAAAAGTTTAACGACTACCGACAAAGTTACTGAATTTTAACCGACGAGTGGACCCCCCCATTCAGACCCTCTTATTACAGGTTGCTTTTTATTTATATATTTATTAAGTACATAAATTGTTTTTTTTTGTTCATTAGGATCCCTCTGTAGGTGACAAAAATCAACCTACATTTCACCAAGTGGCCGTTCAAAGAAAGGTTTGCAGTAATTTCGTTGCTATCCTGAGCATAATCAAGTCTAGCATCTATGAAAACTTGACTAAATTACTCTATAACCTTTTTTAATTAAGGTCTTACCCTTCAGGAAGTTTGCATGTCCCCATTTTTGTCTGAAGATTAATATTAAGCTATTTTGATCATAGTTTCGGTTTGGGTACAGCTTCAGCAAAAAGTGGACCGGGTAATTCCTTACAAATTTCCCGGAGGGGGGGCATAACTTGGATATGTAAGATTTAGAACAATTTTACATCTTCATTGTCTTACGCCAGCAGCTTGTCTTTTTGAACAAGTACATATTTTTTTCTCTGAACCAAGTTGACCAAGACCGTCTTGAGGAGTGCGTCTTTCATTCTTTAACTCGTCTTTGAAACGGCTAGACGCAGCGTTTAGTTGTTACGTTTTTTAATGTTTGGTACCTCGATACGATAAATTGTGTGTGTTATGAACAACTAATTACTGGATAAAAAAGCATAAACCAGATTTCTTTTTTCACCGTATACAGGCCCATTCTCAAGATGTTAATGGCGTGAAATGGCACCCTAAAGAATCAGGTCTGTTAGCTTCATGTTCTGATGATGGTACAGTCAGCATGTGGAGATTTATACTAGAAGATTTCATGACCTTCACCTGCAACTCTGATAAATACCTACCACCCTTATGCTCGAAATTCTTCAGATCATAGATTCACGTACGAGATTTAGATCGATATTTACACCGAACGGGAAACATTAGGACGAAATCGGAGGCATACTCTCGCGACTATGTCTTTTCATACTCTAAGAAAGGACAAAGGAACTCAGCGCAGGCTACGCGGGGTGAAGTTCAGAAGGGTGTTGCAAAGGGCGGTGGCAGCTTGGATTACGCTTCTAAGAAATACTTCAAATGTTACATTCTTTGTGGTAAACTAGTGAAGGTAAACTTCAAGAAGGAAAATGCTCGATTACATTTTTTTTAAGTAGTTAAATAATCTGGTACCGAGGTGTCTTGGTACCTTACAAGAAAAAGGGCTTTGCTAGCCTGTGGGGGCGTCTGTACACAGGCTAAGTTTCCCAGAATTTGATGTAAATGTCCTCGAAGCAATTTTAACCGTTCAAAGATTTTCAATCTGACCAGAGACAGAAAAGTTCTCGAAAAATATTCACTGCTCGTTACACATGCAGGAATGCCGATTTGAATTTGACACTAGCTACAGGAACGACTAGACGATTCAGGTTCATTTTTCAAATAATCAAGTCATTAATAGAATCTTGATGGGGGAGCGGGGGGTACGCTTGACTTGTCTTGACTGTAAAAAGCGCGGGAGTGGAACCTTGCTTGATTTCAAGGTCATTCACAAACAGGTTGCATAGATAAGTGCCGCTCACTCTGCCTTGCGTTCAGTGCGTTGTTCCCTTATTTACTCCTTTCCACTCGTGAAAGTGGTTGTGGTGGACTGTACGTTGTTATCCATTATTAAGAAACTGTGATACCAGTTGATGATATAGGCATTCAGTGGCAGCAAGTTTAGTTTATTAGATAGTAGCTCGTGCCTAACTGAGTCGAAAAATAACAGTACTTACTTACTTACTATGTTTACACTATAAAGTTCTGACACATATTTCGAATCATCTCAGTTACCTTATCACTGACGACTTTGAAAAGCTATACTCGAAAATAGGCATTCACTATTTTCGAATCGCCCATAATACACTCTGTTCCCCCCTCCCCCTTCCTCAAGTTTTGCATAAGTCATTGTTTTTAAATGCTCCTGGGAATATACAGTCTTCCCAAATTCATGTGAAACCAATAGTTTGTGCAAACAAGAGGCAAACAGAGTGTTTTGGCCGGGGATTTTGAAAATAGAGAATAAAATTATAGTATCTTATTTATCTATATATTTACAGTATTTTTATCATACCAAAACTTAGTAATAAGCTTCGCTTGAAATAACTTTTTTCAGTACCAATAGGACGCAAATTATTATTCGTGTATAGCTGACGTTTAATCACTCGCAATCGAAAGTTTTACCCAAAGTACCTTAACGAGCATGAAGAGGAATAGCAGCAGCAGCATTTTGTCTTTGCCGACATGTAAATAACAACAGGAGAGCTTTCCTGGACTCGGGCGTTCTTATTGTGTAAACCACGGGATTAACAAACGAGTTTGTACAAAATAAAAGCAGTAAAGAAGAATTCAGTCGTATTCTTTTTGTTAGAGAAAGTGATCGAATGCTATCAGTTGTATAATAAACAAAGGTAGCTACAGCATATGGCAGCCACAACAGTAACGATACAATAGTCATGATGAGTAACGTTACAGTCAGTTTTCTTTGCCTACGGGCTGCACCATGGTGCTGTGGACGCGCCCCACAACAGATTTTGACGATAATTGAGGCGTAACAAGCACAGATAACAAAAAGACATAATAAGCAATATGATTGCCAGAAATACTGATGGTGTGACCATTCTTTGCCGAATAACTGAAGCATGCTAATTGCAGTTGATATCATTGCAGCTAATACCCAGACAACAGAAATTGTTACCCCGTAGACCCAATTTTTGATAACTCGATGCCAGAATGGCAGGAGTACCCGACGGAGCCGCTCGACAAAATACCCGCTCGTCAGGCAGAATTTGAGCTAGCTGGAAAAAAAAACATTGGCTAGTTAGCTGGCTGGGAAATCTGAATGAGCGCCTTGCTAGCTGAAAATATGAAAAATTTATGCCGGTTCTGGCTGGATAAAAAGGTATATTTTTTCTCCTTGCAATCGCACTGTAATTTTTTATATGGATATTAGAGCGGGCGAAGCAAGTAAGTGCGCGTGGAAATCACCCCACGCGAGCTGTGGAAATGACACCTTTTGCCTGTGAAAACGGAAATTTGTTTGGGTGTGTAAGCAAAACGTCCTGCTGTGAATACCTTGTAAAAGATACACGTAGTGAGAAAATGACACAGTTGAGTCAAGCACCGCTCACCGCTTTGTTTGTAGTCGTTTCGCTGTCGATCCTTTATAGAAAACACTTTTGTGTGTTCGTGTTTTAATATGCCTGTCTACATATCAGCTACTGGCCTACGTTCTTCTTTAAACCTGGTGTTAACGCGGCCAAAAGGTAAGCAAAATGGTTGTGTTTCTTTGTCAGGTTGCCGTGCATGTGTATCGCATTAAGAACATTCGCTAAGGCACATAAATGCCATCAAATATTGAGACGATTGAATACAAAAACTCTCTCCAATAAATAATACACTCTGGCCTCTTAGCGGAGTGAACTCAAAACTGATTTCATTCGGTATGCTCGTTTGCAATGTTGTCCAGGTTTGCGCGCTCAGGAATATTTCCGTTGGAACCAATTTCTCTTTTGTTATGTGCTCACCGGGACGGGAAACCTCCTCGATCTATGGTCATTTGGAAGGCGTTTAGCAACTGCACAGGTATCTGTTAGGATCAGAAAAGGTAGGAAGATTTTACATTTGTACTACCCGTATATTGATGTATTTCGCGTCCGTTATAGTAACTGTTGTTTTTAAAAAGGCAACATCCAAGTGTGCCGTTGCGTTTCAATGCTAACGTCTGTGTAATAAATTGTAGTATAGCGGGGTAAATCCCGAACGGCTATCATTCTTTGACTTTCATACCAGTATCTGTTTTGACGCTGACGCATTTCTTGCTCTTAAAGCTTTTTATCGTATAAATTGTAAGAGCTCTGTTAGCAAATTTATTCATATCTTCGAACACAGTGAATCAGATTACATATTTTTGGTGATGTTTCCCGGCTGTAGGACCTCAATTTTGACAGCGGGCGTTACCGGCCATGGTTACGTTTGAGAGGCTCTTTGGCCAATGTAGAAAAAAAGAATAAAAATAGTTTACAATTTTCTTGCCAAAAATGAAAGAAAATTACAAATGTGAACAGTATTTACTTATTTTCCTAAAATTGCTGCAAGCAGGGTTTAAGCTGGACTATTGAATAAACAAATTAATAGACAACTAGGTTGTTCTTTTTTTTTGCAACCATTTGTCGTGAAGAACAGGATATTTTTCTTTGGAGTTTTTATTTTCTTCTGGTTATCATGAAGTTATTGCTTTCTACAAAATAATCGCCCTCACAACTCAACCGTAGCCTGCGCAAAAGGCGTCATTAAGGTGCTTAGGGTTGTTTAGAGGCGCGAGCGCGAAGCGCGAGATACGCAGTAGGACGCAGTTACGTCACGTTTGCCGTCGTCAACTCGATTTTTAAACGTACCGAAGAAGGTTTCGCCTAAGCTCATCTTATTGCCAAAAGCTAAAAGAATTTTTCTGTAGCTGTATTAAAACTGAAGTACTGTTGCTGTTCGCAAATTTACTATGACGGTCGCTTCAAGCAAACTGATAAAGGTATTGCTGCATTTATTTTACTTTGGTGGGTCTCTCTGTACCCAAAGCAAAATAAGCTTGCCTTCCTTGGTGTGATCTTACTTACATTTGTTTCAACTGCGCTTCGATTCTATAACTTATAGATGTCACACGACCATCGCATGCACGACATAAGGTTATATGCCTTTATAGGTGATTGTCTGACTGCAAAACAAAACATTCCTGACTTACATACGACTATTGGCTTTTGCTGCGAAACTTTGCACCAGTTCTGGTGTGAAACTTTTACGGTGATTGTCTGACTGACCACGTACGACTACTGGCTTTTGCTGCGAAACTTTGCACCAGTTCTGGTGTGAAACTTTTACGGTGATTGCCTGACTGACTGCGTACGACTACTGGCTTTTGCTGCGAAACTTTGCACCAGTTCTGGTGTGAAACTTTTACGGTGATTGCCTGACTGACCACCTAAGACTACTGGCTTTTGCTGCGAAACTTTGCACCAGTTCTGGTGTGAAACTTTTACGGTGATTGCCTGACTGACTGCGTACGACTACTGGCTTTTGCTGCGAAACTTTGCACCAGTTCTGGTGTGAAACTTTTACGGTGATTGCCTGACTGACCACGTACGACTACTGGCTTTTGCTGCGAAACTTTGCACCAGTTCTGGTGTGAAACTTTTACGGTGATTGCCTGACTGACCGCGTACGACTACTGGCTTTTGCTGCGAAACTTTGCACCAGTTCTGGTGTGAAACTTTTACGGTGATTGCCTGACTGACCACATACGACTACTGGCTTTTGCTGCGAAACTTTGCACCAGTTCTGGTGTGAAACTTTTACGGTGATTGCCTGACTGACCACGTACGACTACTGGCTTTTGCTGCGAAACTTTGCACCAGTTCTGGTGTGAAACTTTTACGGTGATTGCCTGACTGACCACGTACGACTACTGGCTTTTGCTGCGAAACTTTGCACCAGTTCTGGTGTGAAACTTTTACGGTGATTGCCTGACTGACCACGTACGACTACTGGCTTTTGCTGCGAAACTTTGCACCAGTTCTGGTGTGAAACTTTTACGGTGATTGCCTGACTGACCACATACGACTACTGGCTTTTGCTGCGAAACTTTGCACCAGTTCTGGTGTGAAACTTTTACGGTGATTGCCTGACTGACCACGTACGACTACTGGCTTTTTGCTGCGAAACTTTGCACCAGTTCTGGTGTGAAACTTTTACGGTGATTGCCTGACTGACCACGACTACTGACTACTGGCTTTTTGCCAGTTCTGAAACTTTGGTGATTGCCTGACCAGTTCTGGCTTTTGCTGTGAAACTTTTACCAGGTGATTGCCTGATTGCCTGACCACCGCGTACGACTACTGGCTTTTGCTGCGAAACTTTGCACCAGTTCTGGTGTGAAACTTTTACGGTGATTGCCTGACTGACCACGTACGACTACTGGCTTTTGCTGCGAAACTTTGCACCAGTTCTGGTGTGAAACTTTTACGGTGATTGCCTGACTGACCACGTACGACTACTGGCTTTTTTTGCTGCGAAACTTTGCACCAGTTCTGGTGTGAAACTTTACGGTGATTGCCTGACTGACCACGTACGACTACTGGCTTTTTGCTGCGAAACTTTGCACCAGTTCTGGTGTGAAACTTTTACGGTGATTGCCTGACTGACCACGTACGACTACTGGCTTTTGCTGCGAAACTTTGCACCAGTTCTGGTGTGAAACTTTTACGGTGATTGCCTGACTGACCACCTACGACTACTGGCTTTTACTGCGAAACTTTGCACCAGTTCTGGTGTGAAACTTTTACGGTGATTGCCTGACTGACCACGTACGACTACTGGCTTTTGCTGCGAAACTTTGCACCAGTTCTGGTGTGAAACTTTTACGGTGATTGCCTGACTGAACACGACTACGACTACTGGCTTTTGCTGGTGAAACTTTACGCCTGACCAGTTCTGGTGTGAAACTTTTACGGTGATTTTTTACGGTGATTGCCTGACTGACCACGTACGACTACTGGCTTTTGCTGCGAAACTTTGCACCAGTTCTGGTGTGAAACTTTTACGGTGATTGCCTGACTGAACACGTACGACTACTGGCTTTTGCTGCGAAACTTTGCACCAGTTCTGGTGTGAAACTTTTACGGTGATTGCCTGACTGACTACATACGACTACTGGCTTTTTGCTGCGAAACTTTTGTGGTGATTGTCTGACGACATACCATTATGGCTTCTTGACCACAGAAAAAATGAGTGAGTAAGATCAAACTCAGGATGACAAGCTCTTACTAGTGCGGAGAAAAAATACTACAAGAACACGTTATCAGTCTGGCTTTAAAAAGTAAACTGTTGCCATAGCGTATTTGAAAACATGGACAGTATTGTTTTTTTTTTACCGCAACAGAAAGGTCCTTGTTTGTAGTCAGGCGTTTACGTAAATGACGAAAGAGGAAACCATCCTCCCACGTTGAAACTCGAGTTAAAGACCGCAAACGTTACCTTACTTTGTGGGTTCGTGGTTTTCAGCCGTAGTGGTTAGAAGTTTCCAACGGAAAGCCTGTTTACTCGAAACTTTCTATTAGTTCTGGTGTAGACTTTTGCGGGAGTAACAGTAGGCACGGCATACAATGCTGGCGATAAGCATGTGTCTACACTGAATTTGGGGTGTTTTTGCAGAGGGGACCACACGTGGATCGAGCTTACTCGTTATGTTGTTTATTCTTGAACTTTATTTCACCTCAGTCGATTATCGTTGGAAAAAGTTGGCCTTAAGGCTTTGCGATGATCACTTTTTTTACGTGTTATTGTGTTATGGACAAAGTTCGGGATCTTCCTTTTTATCGTTTACCTGGCAAAAACTCAAGACTACTCCTCAAGTCCACATTCCAAAACTGTAAGTACCGCTGAATGTCTTTAGTTGTTATGTTATTGTTATGTAATTCTTAGGGATAGGGAATAATATATACTAAACAAATACACTGATCTTTTCCCTATATCTCAAAAAAAAAAAACCGACAACTAGATAAAAGGGTGAAACAGGTTAAACACCCTTTTCTTTTATATTATGTAAATTTGACGTAAAACAGATCTTGCCTATTGACTTACATGTTTTTCTTGGCAATGTGTTAAATGAAACTTTGCTGGCTGGCTCATAACTTACTTCTGCTACCGCTGGCTGGCAAACACCGAATTCCGTTTCACTCTGGCTGGGATTGCGTAATTTTTGTTTTTTTAACCTTGCTGGCTGGCAAAAAACCGTCAAACATGATTGCTGGCTGGGATTTTTATTTTCTGAAAGTCTTGCTGGCTAGCAGTGAAGAGCGGGTATTTTTTTCCCAGGAAAGTTAAATATTAACATGGGTTGACGTAAAAGCACTTTGCTAGCGTTTACGACATCGTATAATCAATTTTGCGAAAAATGTTCGTTGGGTACTCCTGGAATGGACGAAATGTCGCATGCATCCGATCTAACGAAATTACGGTTATGTTTGTAAGAGAGGTAAGAAGAAACCAGTAGAAAACAAACGACACTATGTTGTCTCCTTTCCAAGTTAACCTTACACTTAAAATTTTGCATCCCATTCTTAGAAAGAGAATATTAGAACAGTTACTGGAAATTCCTCCAACCAACATGTCAGCTACAGTCAAGTTTATAACCAAGTACATACTACGAGAGCGAAGAGTTCTGTTCTTTATAAAAATGATGATTGATAGAAGGTTCACTGTTACTACAGCAACGGACACCGTTAGGAATGCAGCAAACCAGGTGATACACTCGGGTGAGGAAAGCATCGTGGATTGTAAAAGGATTAAATAAAAATCGGCTAACCTTGCTTAAAACCGGTGTTTTTCTTCTTTCCTGTGTGGTTTCCGAGCCGATTTATGGCCATTTTTAAATGGGTGTTATTGGAACCGGTTTGCTCTAGATCGATTGATTCATTTCAAACCCTTTAGGTTCCACGCTGTACCTCTGTTCAAATTGTCTTATGTTCTTCCTCTAAATGAGATTCATTTTAAAACAATCTGCCTTATTATGCACGATGTATCCAATAATGTAACACCTCCAAACGTTTCCAGCTTATTTACCTATTCTTCAAAAGTACATCATCATAATACACGATTTTCTGCGGCTGGCAATTTCTATATTAAGTACTCGAGAACTAACCATATGAAGAACTCCTTTTCAAGAATTGGTGTAAAAATATCGAATAGTATTCCCGACAGTGATCGTGCTCTACCTAAATATAAATTTAAGAATACCCTACACAGTAGGCTACTGGATATTTTGATACTTATGTTGGCACGCTACTTTAATTGACATATTCAGTAAAAATATGAATTTCACTCATATCTTGTTTCATTTACCTATTTTTAAGTATACAGGTGTATATATTTACTGTTTAGTGGATTCAATATGTCGATGTTCGTGTATCTGTGTAATTTTATTGTTATGTTTCAACCCTGTTATTGTAACATTTTTACTTTTCCTTCCCGCCTCGATTAGCTATAGGCTACTTTGCGGGCAAGGATTAATTATGGTTTGTATCAGAAGGGTTTTTTGAACCTCTAGATCTCTCTATAATAGATTCCCGCGTGACGAGATTATAAACTCTCTTCACTCGGAATTATCGTTGTTAACTAATGCATCGGTTTGATAATCAGTGAAACTGCCACTCAGACAAGTGGCCAATAATGCCAACACTCGAGTGGTTTTCTGTCTGTCGTATTGTATCAGAACAATAGTGTGACTTCAATGAGAGCTCCCGAAGTTACTTTTAGGGTATCGGCATGAATACATTGATGGCAACAGAATCGAAAGGGTCACAGTTTATAAAGCTGCTTGGAGTTTATGTTAGCAGTGATCTGAATTGGACCCATCAAGTAGACTATACATAATTAAAAAGGGAAATAAGAGGCATTAGTCTCTCAGAGTTCTCAAGTAGTTTGATGATCCACCAGCTGAAACCCTCGCAATGCTTGAAACCCTTGCAACCCTCGCAACCCTTGCAACCCTTGCAACCCTCGCAACGCTTGAAACCCTTGCAACGCTTGAAATCCTCGCAACGCTTGAAACCCTTGCAACCCTGGCAACGCTTGAAACCCTTGCAACCCTCGCAATGCTTGAAACCCTCGCAACGCTTGATACCCTTGCAACGCTTGAAACCAGCACTCCCTCCACACGCGCGAAAATTATGAACGAGGCGGAATGAACGTGACACCATATGAACAATATCATTGGTTTGAAACCCTCGAAACCCTTCACACTCTGTGAGCCAATCACAGTAGACCTTAGGATAGCTGCTACAGTACTGTTTGGCCTTCGAGCAATCGGTGGTGGACATTCGGCGGCTTCAAAGTTTTTTAGTTTCCTTGGCCTGGCGCCGATCAACAAAAACGCCTGGGCGGATCATACAAAAAAGATCGAAGGAGAGGCAAAACTTTTGCTCGAGAAACAATTAAACCGTGCTTCTCGTGGTGCAAAAGAGTGGAAGTTTTCCAACGGAGAATTAAACTGTTCACTTGAAGATTTTGATAGCAATAAAAGGTTTGTTCCTGTTACATGTTACCTGTCAAAGTCCTATTGTTAGAGAAAATTGATCCCTCTCTGATATCAATCAGAAAAAACATTTAGGTGTTATAATCTCATTCCAGGTAGGATGCCGCCAAAAATGTATTTTCTATTTATCTCCGAACGCAAATTTTGCCGATCGACTCGTACGTTTTGAAGTCCAAGTCGGCAGCCTTTCAATCAATTTGGCTAAAATTTGGCCAGAGTGATGCCATATACCTCTTCTACAAAACAGTGTCTGCGAATTTTAATACTGCTTTTCATTTTAAAGCTAGAGCTTTTTTTCCACAGGGAGTGTTGACTAATTGCCTTCCCCAACTTCATTTGCTAATAAAAGAAAAACAAACGCACTTGTCAAAAATCTGAGACACGGTTTTTTAGTGGAACGTGTTGAGAAGCGAATGCGGTGTTAATTGTTTTCTTCCGTTTATCTCCGGCGGGAATGGAACATGATTTATAGAGACATGTACTTTTACACAAAGCGTTCCAGTTTCGAAACACATTTAAATAAATCGTTTTTGTTAGTTCAAATCCATAATCTGGAATTATTAAGCTTTTAAAAAATATATGGTTTATAGGGGTTTTTATAAAAACAACTAACGCTACAGCGATCCGCGCGCGGACGGTCCTGAGGGGTGGCTGATACCTTAAAATATTCTGTTGTTCATGCCCTTTCTGTAATCTGAAATCATTAAATTTTCAGTGAGACTCAGCTGAGACCAGGTAGTTTTAGAGTTTTTGCGGTGACAAATGAAAATATGAATACAATGTAGCAGCTTCAAGCATCTCTTGCAGAGGGAGAAAATTAATTCACGTTTTAAACTGTGCAGCAAGATAACTAGCTTCACGATCCGAGAAGTCTGCTGCCTCCGAGTCTACGAAGAGCTAAGGGTTTGCTTAGTAACTGTCAGAATTGTTCTCACCATTGCACCTAAATTATATCGCGCCGCTAAAACATTTTTCATTTTTCACCGAGTTCTCTGCTCTCTGGGTTCTTTCTTACCCTTTCAACAAGTACTGTGCTGGTTGACTGATCTGGAAACGAGCTGGAAAGCTTTCGCGACAGAGGACAAGGACCGTTCTGTGCTTAATTCAGAGCTGTCAGAAAAAGATCTCCTCAAATGACGGCCTTTTTATATAAGCGAAATACCCGTATGCTGAAAGTGTTCCAATATATCGTGATCCTTGGCTCACTTCCAGGGACTGATTCCCTTTTCTTTATTTGTCACGTTTTGAATAAGCAGCACGGAATTGTGAAGCTAAGTTTTTGTTGTTGTAGACAGTTGCAACGTGTTATCATAGGAACAAACGTTTACTATGAACTGCTTTGATCGTTACCTAATAACAAATCGAGAACAATTAATATCTTATAATAAAAGGGTTTCAAACGTCACAACTCGAACCTTCAAACATTTAACATTTGCAAAATATTCAGTGTTATTTGTTGTGTTTTAGAAGAAACATATTTGGCCGGGCAAAATTAAGCTGAGATCAAGCCCAATTTTGGCGGTTCTCATACATTCTCTCTCACCCGCCGGAATGTTATGTTCAAAGCGAAACGAAAATAGAGCCTGATCTCAGGTCAGGCAAAATGGCCATGACTTCCTATAAGAAACAGCTCTTTACCGCTGTTTCTTCATTTTTTAAAGTTGTCGTTGCTTCGTTTTTAACTGATCAAACATCAACTTCATTTGTATATATCCAGTAATTTACAGAGGATTGCAAAAAATATTATTTGTAGATCCAGCAACTCCATTCCGAATTGTTTATAATCGTGGCTCTCCGCTGTTGTTCGGTTTGTAAAAGCTATCTGGTTCAGTAGCGTTTTTTGCATGCATTAGTTGCTTGTACTTATAATCACTCAATTCCGGATTTTTAGTCATCAAGGGTTTCTTTAATGATCTTGTGTACTAGATTTCCTTCTTAAAAGTGAAAGAAAACAGAAATTCACCAGGTCATTTGATGGTAAAAACCCACGGCAATTTTAACGTAACTAACTTAAAGGATAAACTACGCAATATAGGCTCAGAAAGGGTTTTAAATTAGAGTTTAATATTAGAAACTAAGACACAAAAAGACAGGTGCTTGTTAGACCAGTGGCACCAGTTTGATGAAGATGAAAATTTTTGACCAAAGACAAGCGGGCGCTCGTTTGCGTCGCTGTAATTGGTGGGTAAATTTAGCCTGCGGTGCAGGCGTATTTTAGGTGAGCGAAACCTTGTTCGTGTTCGTAATTTTGTTTTAGCCGCCATCTTTGATCTTATGACAGTGGAAGATTGGGGAGAGTAGAAATAGTAACCCTTACGGTACGTGAGAGGGCGAAAGAAGGAAAGGGGGGGAGGGGGAGGGGAGTTTCAACATGGCGCTTTCGCGAGCAAATTACGCGCTCAAAGAAAACGCCTGCACTGCAGGCTAGGTGGCAATTTAAAAATGACGCCATATCTATTAGGCAGTTAACAATACTGCTCTCATATACACACTTTATTATTATTATTACTTGTAACAAGCTCCATTTACATTAAGTCCATTTCCGCCAGCAAATAGCAGGTGCTAGTCGAGGCGGGGGGATAATAGGTACAGAAAAGAAATGTTAAATGCGTTTATAACTGGGCACAAAGAGACGAAATACAATTGCAGCAAATATCATGTATATTAAACTCAAGATTGATGTATTTTGGTCAAATAACAACTCTTTGCCCATAAGGCCGCCCCGCACCCTTCCTGAATGGGATCAGGAACAAAATAAGAAAATATCCGCCTGTGCAGGATTCAGAGCAGTGATTGACAGGTAGGTGGTATAAAAGTTTAGAAGTTTGACCAAAAAGTGTTGACACACTGTTCACTAGGTTCCAGTAGTTCAAACGTTGGATAGCGGTATCCAGCGTATAAGTATTAGGGAAAGACCAATTGCCTTATCCACTGGATAGAGATCGGGTTCATTCAGTGGAAAGCGTTATCCAACTACTAGGCCTAGAACGTAAGATGAACAACATTTCTTTTCCTTAAAAGTCCCAAAAAGTCTCAGTAGGAGAAGTTGCTCCAAAACGGCTTTATTGGAATCCTCTAAGTCCCCTCTTTCGTGGCGCATGGAAACGAGGTGCTCATGACCGCTTTTAATTAAATGAAATAGAGACAACAACAACAAAAAATCCAAGTAGTGTTGTATGCAGTTACCATAATGTTTTTATACCCTTTGAACCTTCATAAAACTTGTCCGTCCAAA